AATAAAAAAATACATCATAAACCCAACAACTGCCAGTCCAGTCAGCAACTATGGAGCCATCTTGCCTTTTGCCTCAGACACCAAAGTATCTTGAGCCTAGTCCCATTTGTTTTGTAGTGCATAACTCTATGTTTAGGGTCAGGGTATTAAAATCAGTTGGGAAGTGTTCAGTGTATGTGAAAATGAGGGAATAGGTAAGATGTATGAGAATTTTCATGTACTGTGTAGCATCATATACAGGCTTGCCATCAGATATACATGTGCCTATCAAAGAGAGACCGAAAATCACAGTCAATTTTGGTTCCATAGGACATTACACACATACATATTTTTAAATAAGTGATTTTTCATGTACACATATTGATATTGCATTGAAATGTTTTGTATATGCATATTGTAAAAAAATGTAAGCACCACTAAAAACCCCAGTTAGGAGCTTGGTCATGATGGATTTTCTTTTAATGTCTTTGTGTGTGTGTGTGTGTGTGTGTGTGTGTGTGTGTGTGTGTGTGTGTGTGTGTGTGTGTGTGTGTGTGTGTGTGTGTGTTTGAGATCTACACCTACGCGTGGTTCAACCAATCAGCCCATATTTGTTTGCTAGTATTTTATTTCAGATTAGTCTAATTGTTTGAACATCTGGAAAATGTCACACCCTATTGTTGACTGTAAATCCTTGAAGTTTATTCTTGAAAAAGGCAGGCTTGAATAAGAAAATCAACCATTATAAGATCATTTGGGAGAAATTAACAAAAAATACATCATCAATGAGATCAAGATCACTCTTATAAGCCCTTCTTTGTCAATTTGTCTGCTGAAAGATATACAAATGTGTACATATGAATGTGAGGGTTCAGTATTACGGGCTTCTGTCACACCCAATAAAGGACGAGACGGATGTGTAAAATCAACAGCTTCAGTATTTATTGTAACACCATCTTTAACAGGAACATCTAGCCCAACGGGGTTTAAAGGCTCTTGTGGCTCAAACCGTGGCCGCAAGGGTGTCCATAAGTCATCCACAAATGGGTTACTATTTCCATAGTCCACGGTGCTGTTAGCTCCTTCACAGGCACCGGCACATCTCCCACTTCCTCTTCGACGGGGATTAAGGGCAGGGTTTCCTCGTCATCACTCCACCCCCATACGGGGGACCCATCCGCGGTGTCTGCCAACCAAGGCCCGGGCAGACTCCCATCTTTTGCAGCTCCGCAAGATGCCATGCCTTCTTGCGCTCTAATTCCTTAGCCACTGCTTCCCTCTCTTCCCTCAGCTTACGGCGCCACTCCTTGGCCTCGGTTTCCCCCCAATACGAAGGTCGGGGTTTCAGCCCTTGGCGTCTCCGTCTTTCAGCTTCCTCATGGGGCACTCTCACCTGCTCCCATTTGCCAGTCCACGGATCCTCCACCCAGATCCATTCCCAGCCACCTGGGATTTATTCCTTCTTCTCCCTTATCTCTCCCAGCCCAGCCTCTATCTCCTCCCTCTCCTTTCCCGCCACAACTCTCCCAGGTCTCTGGGTAAGGGTTAACTCTTTCAGCACCTGCCCCAGGTCGCTGGTATCTACCCCTTTGTTTGCTTTATTCCGCTCCTGGTTGATCTTCCCCCAATCAGGGGTCTCCACCTCTTTATCTTCCCGCCGCAGTGGTGAAGGAGGGGGAGACGTCTGGGTGTGTTGGGCCCGCGACGGGAGCGACGGCACTCCTACATAGGCCTCCACCTTGGGGGCCTCACAATGAAATGAACACATTTCTGTCTAGTCTCATTCTTTAGCAATGGCCAGATAAAGACATTCTGCTTCCATCTGAAGCTATACCATATTATCTGAGATAGGGGTGGAGAATGTATAGCCCTACAGAAGTAATGGGACTGAAACATGCTGTATTGTAGGTGTTAGTTGGATGAATCATATATTCCCTCCCCCAGACTGAGGTCCAAAGTATAGGAGATGCCAGCTTCACAGTTTCACAATGAGACGTGGTGAGTAAGGATATTATTCTGTCCTACCACAAGGTTTCTGCAGCTCCATAAATTGTAAATTAGATGTATTTTGTTTGGTGATTGGTCAGTAGAAGGTAAACAATGGGCTTCATTTGCAAGTTGAGTGTGCAGAGACAGCAGTTTTGAAGGGATTTGTAACAGATGGAATTCTGTCACTGTTTGATTGTGAAGCTGAGGTCAAATATCCTTTGGCCTGAACACAAAGAGATAACCTGTGCAGAGGAGTGCTGACTCTATCATTTGGGTGAACTGTAGCTTCACTGGTGCCTTAAATAGTTACTGGGTTGTTGTGTAGTTGTACTGGCTCTACATTTTGGAAGTGTTCCACAAATGCTATGATGCCCAAAATAAAATAATGGGATTATCATTATCAACCATCTATTTGGTTTCTGAAATAAAACCAAAGTTCCTGTCATTAATAGCCCTGCTGAGGTCTTGCAGACTCAAGGCTGTAGCTTCCTTTAGTCAATTGATCTCATACTTGGTCTTTTTCTGCTGCTTCCACTTCTCCCAGCATTACTGGCTTTTCTAATGAGTTTTGAGCCCCAAATATGATAGCCGTAGTTTAGTAATTTTTGGCCTTAGAGAAAAAGGTATTGGTATAACTGGTGTTTTATTAGTATCTTTTTTAAGGATCTGTGCCTAAAACCTTCAGAAGGGGCAGAAATCAACAAATCTATTTTCCCATATCATTGCTTCAACTACAGCAAGGAAGATGAACTTTCTGCCAGCTATGCCATAGTTAGGCAGAATATTCACAACTGGCAATTCTATTCCTCATATTAGGACTCAACACAGCTTGGAAAAGTCCCCTTTTGGGAGAATCCTGGTACTGGGTGGGGAATCACAGAATCACCAAAAATGGAATTAGAAGGTGAGTCCAACCCCCTGCTCAGTGCAGGAACCCAAAGCAAAGTAGATTTGACAGGTGGTTGTCCAATTGGGCTAAACATGCCCAGTTCTTCCAGTCTTTTCTTACAGGGCAAGGTTTCCAGCTCCCTGATCATCTTTGTTGTCCACCTTTGAACTTGTTCCAATTTCTTGGCATCCTTCTTAAAGTGTGGTGTCCAGATCTTGTCACAGTATTCAAGATGAGGCCTAACCAGTGCCTAATAGATCGGAACTAGAATTTCACAGGATTTGGAGACTATACCTCTGTTAATGCACCCTAAAATGGCATTTGCCTTTTTTGCAGCCACATGACACTGTTAGCTCATGTTCAGCTTGTGATCTACTACAGTTCCAAGATCCTTTCCATTTGTAGTATTACTGAGCCAAGTATCCTATATCTTGTAGCCATGGTCAAAAAAGCAAGTTGTCCAAGCTCTGGGTCTCACACTCCCCCCAATACATCACAATTTCATGCACTGGAACTTTCTTGCCAATAACTGTTTTATGTCTTTAGCATTACAGTGGTGCCCTGCTTGATGCTTACCCCGCATGACATCAAAATCGCTTAATGATGACTTTTTTGCAATCGCTATTGCGATCGCAAAATGATGGTTCCAATGGGGTTTTTTCGCTTGCCATCGATTAGGAGTCTGCTTCGCGAACTGTTTGTTTGCTAAATGACAATTTTTCCGGCTCCGCAAAATGGCGTCCCTTCATAAAATGGCTTCCCTTCCTTCTCAAAATGGCTGCTTTCCGGGCCCCTGCTTCAGAAGACAGCATTTTTAAACAGCTGATCGGCGGTTCTCTATGGGCAATCTATGCTGGACAATGAGGTATTTCCCCCATTGGAATGCATTGACCGGTTTTCAATGCATTCCAGTGGGGTTTTTTTCTCCACTTGACGACGATTTCGCTTAACAGTAATTTTCATGGAACGGATTATCATCGTCAAGCAGGGCACCACTGTATTTTATTCAATTATAGGATTTAGAGCACAATCCAACTCAGTGAATATAAACCCACTAAAAGGGTTTTGTGTGAACAGGTTTAAATCTGTATTAAGTTACAGCATGGTATTTCAGGGTTGATCCATATGAGAATGCAGAGAAAATATTGATGAGAATCCTCTTTGTAGTTTCATATCCATACATACATCCTATTCATGTGAAATATTGTATTGCTTTTCTAAAATCTCACTGGAACTCTGTAATAGTTCTGAAATTAAAAAGCTATATTACCCATCTTTTCAGTGTGTTTTTGCATCCGACCATAATTATTTTTAGTGAGGCTTATGAATAAAGCAACAGGCAGGATGATCTTTCCCAAAGCATATTTTGATGTTATAGATTTGTAGAAACTGGCATGAAGAATCAGATGTACAGAAGTGTACATTGGGAGTTGTTACCTAAATTGGGAATGTCAATGTAGGTTTGTGCTCAATAGCTATACTTTATAAATAACATGCTTTATTAGGTCACATGGAAACTGCTACTCAAAATTGTATCACCAAGCTTTTGGAGAATAGGGACTACTTCCTTTTAGCTGTAGCTAAAACAGCCCATCATAAAGTTCAAGAGGTCTGAAATCTCTCAATTCCTCCACGCCATTAGGATACTGATTTTTCTACAGAGCATTTCTTGTGTGGTTCCCCAAAACTGAATAAGGTATTTTGCTACTAGTACCAAAGGGAAGAGATTCTGCATATTTTAATGAAAGATAAAACAACAATATAAACATACACAAATTTACAGAGGAAGGATCAGCTTTAATACATTTGGCGTAAAAGATGTTCTCCCCACCCCACCCCCCTTAAGATATGGTATAAAAATAAATGCAAGAAACATTAACATTGGATATACAGACAATAGACAAAGACACAGGCTTTCTTTCTCAAGGTGAATACATCTGTGAGACTGAACTTTCTGTGCTAATTGTTTGTGCAATAGCTGTGATGCCATAGTAGGTATATTTATTAATATATTCTTTTTTTCTTTTCTTTTTTTTACATTTCTTCCAGTTTGTGACTGACAGTACTGAAAATAAAACTGTGCCTAACGGAAGCTTTTTTTAGAAAAACTTTTTACTGTACTTCAGCTTGCAGAAAATAAAAAGACACAGATCCAGCTTGATATGAAGGCGAAAGTGAGCAGAGTTTTCAAAATGGAGGCATCGAAAGATTAGCAGGTCCCTTGGAGTCTGTAATGCCTTGACATACACAAAAGAAAACAAGTCAGGTCCTTGCTCATGCAACATCTTGTTCTATTGTCCTCTGATTTCAGGCAATTAGGGAGCTACAAAGTACATATCATGATTGAGTCTGCTTCCATGCTACAAGGTGATCCTTTTAGCAGGACTGCACTAGACTGGTTAATCTCTTTGATGTGAGCGATTTCCCCTGAGGAAAAGACAGAAACAAACAAACAAAAGGAAACAGAAGACAGAGGCATGATCACTGAAAACTCCGTTCAGCACATAGTGCATATCTTTTTGCAGCTGAAACTTGCACTTTAGTGTAGCAGTCTATTAAACTTCAGAGGTCAAACCTGGGGCTGTTTCACACATGAATATTTCAGCAGTTGGAACTGCAGCCTTAAGAGACAACATGCATGTGTGAATTGACCACCACAGTAACAGTGCCAAAGACAAGACACCTCAGATGCAAGGCTTCAGTAGAGTCATTTCACACTAACAGCTGACACTCATCATGAATATGAGGCAGAGAATGCAAGCCATGCATTTCCACATGTAGATCATACTTGAGCACTCTGAATGCATTTAAGTCCTGGGATAATTGAAGTTGGCCATCTGTTTGAAATGCCACACATTGTATCCATTTGACATTACCAAGACAAATGTTAGTCTTTCCAAATGCACAACATTTAATATTTTGGATGCATGCTCAGATATCTCAATCAAACACTGGCCTCATTGTCCTGTTTTCACTTGCTATGTTTTGGAGCCAGCAGTCATGGAGTGAGTTTTCCTACCAAAAACTGCAGCCCTTGAAAATTAGTTATTAGTCATTTTTAAGATACCAAGTATAAGAATTAAATCTTATGCTTCAGATTCATTTGTCCTCTACAGTTGATGCTACTTATATTCAAAATATAATCTACCTATTATTAAAATATACAACAGTATTTTTCATTGATATTCATGTTGATGACACTTAAATTAATTTAGATAATCCACTACTATGAATTTTGTACAACTATAAGCCCCTTCATGGTTTGCTACCTTGTCGTGGCGAAGGGGCTTGAGTAATTCAAAGAAACTATGGGCTATGCCGTGCAGGAACACCCAAGACGGACAGGACATAGTGGAGAGTTCTGACTAAAAGCGATCCACCTGGAACAGGAACTGGCAAGCCACTTCGGTATCTTTGCCAAGAAAATCCCATGAACAGAAAAAAAAAAAGGATGCTGGAAGATGAGCCGCTCCGGTCGGGAGGCGTTCAACATGCTACTAAGGAACAGGGAAGGAGAAGTACAAGTAGGTGGTTGTGCCAAAGCCGAAAGGATGCTCAGATGTGGACATGCCTGGCTGTGGAAGGAAAGTCCGATGCTGGAAACAAAAATACTGCACAGGAACCTGGAATGTAAGATCTATGAATCTTGGTAAGCTGGATGATGGCAAGAATAAACATTGACATCCTGGGCATATATACTATAGTGGGCAAGAATCTTGTAGAAGAAATAGAGTAGCCCTCATAGTCAACAAAAGAGTGGGAAAAGCTATACTGGGATACAATCTCAAAAATGATAGAATGATTTCAATACGAATCCAAGGCAGACCTTTCAACATCACAGTAATACAAGTTTATGCACCAACCACTGATGTTGAAGAGGCTGAAATTGACCAATTCTATGAAGACTTACAACACCTTCTAGAAGAGACACCAAAGAAAAATGTTCTTGTCATTATAGGGGACTGGAATGCTAAAGTAGGGAGTCAAGAGATAAAAGGGACAACAGGAAAGTTTGGCCTTGGAGTTCAAAACGAAGCAGGGCAAAGGCTAATAGAGTTTTGTCAAGAGAACAAGCTCGACATTACAAACAGTCTTTTCCAAGAACACAAGAGGCGACTTTACACATGGATAAAACTAGAACGGCAATACCGAAATCAGATTGATTATATTCTCTGCAGCCAAAGATGGAGAAGCTCTATACAGTCATGAAAAACAGGACCTGAAACTGATTGTGGCTCTGCTCATCAGCTTCTTATAGCAAAACTCAAGCTTAAACTGAAGAGAGTAGGAAAAACCACTGGGCTAGTCAGGTATGATCTAAATCAAATCCCTTATGAATACACAATGGAAGTGAAGAACAGATTTAAGGAACTCAATTTGGTGGACAGAGTGCTTGATGCTGTTAAGGTGCTATACTCAATCTGCCAGCCAGTTTGGAAAACTCAGCAGTGGCCAGAGGATTGGAAAAGATCAGTCTACATCCCAATCACAAAGAAGGGCAGTGCCAAAGAATGCTCAAACTACCGTACAATTGCACTCATTTCACACGCTAGCAAGGTTATACTCAAAATCCTACAAGGTAGGCTTCAGCAGTATGTGGACTGAGAACTCCCAGAAGTACAAGCTGGATTTCAAAGGGGCAGAGGAACTAGAGACTAAATTGCTAACATGCACTGGATTATGGAGAAAGCCAGAGAGTTCCAGAAAAACATCTACTTCTGCTTCATTGATTACGCAAAAGTCTTTGACTGTGTGGACCACAACAAACTATGGCAAGTTCTTAAAGAAATGGGAGTTACCACCTTATCTATCTCCTGAGAAATTTATATGTGGGACAGGAAGCAACAGTTAGAACTGGATATGGAACAACTGATTGGTTCAAAATGGGGAAAGGAGTAAGACAAGGCTATATATGGCCCTCCTGCTTATTTAACTTATATGCAGAATACATCTTGCAAAAGGCAGAACTGGATGAATCAAGCCGGAATTAAGATTGCCGGAAGAAATAGCAACAATTCCAGATATGCAGATGATACCACTCTGATGGCAGAAAGTGAGGAGGAATTAAAGAGCCTCTTAATGAGGGTGAAAGAGGAGAGCACAAAAAATTGTCTGAAGCTCAACATAAAAAAAAACTAAGATCATGGCCACTGGTCCCATCACCTCCTGGGAAATAGAAGGGGAAGATCTGGAGGCAGTGACAGATTTTCCTTTCTTGGGCTCCATGATCACTGCAGATGGAGACAACAGCCACAAAATTAAAAGACGCCTGCTTCTTGGTAGGAAAGCAATGACAAACCAAGACAGCATCTTAAAAAGCAGAGATATCACCTTGCCCACAAAGATTCGAATAGTCAAAGCTATGGTTTTTCCAGTAGCAATGTATGGAAGTGAGAGCTGGACCATAAAGAAGGCTGACAGCCAAAGAATTGATGCTTTTGAATTGTGGTGCTGGAGGAGACTCTTGAGCGTCCCCTGGACTGCAAAGAGAACAAACCTATCCATTCTGAAGGAAATCAACCCTGAGTGTTCACTGGAAGGACAGCTGAGGCTCCAATACTTTGGCCATCTCATGAGAAGAGAAGACTCCCTGGAAAAGCCCCTGATGTTAGGAAAATGTGAAGGCAAGAGGAGAAGGAGACGACAGAGAATGAGATGGTTGGACAGTGTCATTGAAGCTACCAAGATGAATTTGACCCGACTCTGGGAGGCAGTGGAAGACAGGAGGGCCTGGTATGCTCTGGTCTTTGGGGTCATGAAGAGTCGGACATGCCTCAACAACTAAACAACAGCTGTAAGTTCATCACAGACTTTATCAGTGATCTGTAACATACAGCCTTCCAGATGTTTTTGCACTGCATCCCTCATCTCAATATTGGGTGTGCTGGATGTGGCTAATGGAGCTGGAGTTCAAAGACATGTAATAAGCCAAACATTTCCCACCCCTGGTCTAGAGTATTCATCGACAGTTAATGCTGACATCAAGGAGCATGATGTGAGCCAATGTAGGATATAAGCATTTCAGACAACACACCACCTCTTCGCTAATTTGGTGAAAAATAAGATGGCTTGAATCTCTTCTGGTAAAAAGCAGTAAAAGAACTAAAAGTGACACATAGCCATGATTCCTGTTTCTTCCCCTACCCAAACATTACCACATTTGACGTATATTTGGCATCATCAGCAAAAAAAAGCTTTGAAACTAACTTAAAATTTTTAGAGTAAATGTTTGACTGGGATTCTTCAGATAAGATGAGTTTCACAACCACATCTGTTTTTTTCCTAAGAATTACTTCACACCATTCCAGACTATGTTACATTGTCTCTGCAGCACGTTCAGTAAGTAAAAGATCTGAAGAAGCTGAAAACGTTTGTTCTTACATTCCAAAATAAACTGAAGCCACATCTCCTCTGCTGATCGTAACTTTGGTTTTAAATATTATGCCAAGTTAGTTCTAGCAGCGCAATGTCCTAATGTATTTTAATCAGCAGTCAGATTATTTATCTGCTAGGAACAAGAGGAACAAAAGTATTTTGTGTCCTTCACATACTTCAGTAGTACAGAGGGCCATGGTATTGGCTATAGAGCAGAATTTGCTCCCTGAATTCACCAGTGAGTATGGCTGCATTAAAACCTCCAATCCTTGCCTGAATGGATGGTCATCACAATGCAGAAATGTGACACATCTAACTCCAAGTAGAGAAAGCACTGATGGAGGTAGAGAGGCTAGGTAATCCCCTCTAAGAGTGTTCTGAGAACAAGTTAACTAATGGCTGTTGTCTTAGTAATAATGAGGCCTGTTAAAGAGAGAAGACAGGAAGAAGATGGATGAAGAAAAGGAAGATGTCATCAATATTTTACAGAGTTAAATTGTGCATTTAAGCTAGTTATCTTCAGCTTTTCTATCAGATAGCAATCCAGGATACTTATCTAATTTAAAATGAGGAGAACCTTATTATGGAAAATGGCCGTGAGTCCGCCTTCTTGGGCAAGCAGACTCACGAATACCATCTGTATCTTTCACAATAACAAAGAATGTTTGTTATTGACTGCATATTTTTAGAATGATTCTTTAGAATTCAAAATCTTGCTAAAACTGTAAAGAACAGAGAAAAGCTACCACTGAGGACAATGGATTCGAGGAAGACCTGAAATTGTGTAATCAATAGATTTTGAATGTCAGGAGTTACTCTCCCGGAACAATTCTTATCAACTTCATTCCTCCATAGCCTCAAGGAGCACCGAGATTCAATGTTTACATTTGGTTCTTTATAGTTTTGCCAACAGAACTGCTGTGCTGATGCAATACCCCTGCTCTGCCTGTTCCTTGGCCAATATATGGCATATGTATGCCTTTATCACTTTATATATTTTACTAAATTTTTGTTTTGCCTTTTGGCCAAGAATGGTGGTCAAGGCAACTCACAATGACAAAATACAATTAAATCCAAATGCTAAAATAAAACACATAAACAAATCAATTGAAAACATAACAAGAACGAGAAATAAAACCCAATTAAACTCTTAACAAACCATCTTAAACCCAAAAGACTTGTCTGGCAAAAAAAAAAAAGCTCTTCACATTTTGATAGAAAAATAACAAAGAGTGAGTCAACCTCTCCCTTTTAAGGCAGGGTTTACAGAGGCTGTGAACAGCTATGGAGAAGACCCTCTCTCAGGATCCCATGCAAAATGGCTCTGCTTGTGGTGGGCCTGAGTGAACGGACAATCCTAAATACCTTAAAAGCTAGGTAGACTTGTGTGGAAGAATATAGACCCTGAGTCATGGCAGCATTTTGAGTTCCACCTGGTAACAGAGCAATAACCAGTGAAGTTGTCATAACAAAAGAAATCACATGCTCCAGGTAAATGGCCCTGGTTTGCTGTCAGGCCACAGTCTTTTTGGCTATCTGAATTTTCCAAACACTTTCCAAAATACAGTGGACCCTTGACTTACAGACGGCTTGACTTACAGACTTTTTGAGTTACAGCCTTCTCTGGCTGCAAAATTTAGGTTTGACTTGCAGACTGAGATTTGACTTACAGACCAGAAAAAAACCAAAATGGAACAAAAACGGCCTGTTACGGGATTAATCGGTTTTCAATGCACTGTAGGTCAATGGAGACTTGATTTACAGACTTTTTGACTTGACAACCGCCTTCCAATACAGATTAAGTTCTCAAGTCAAGACCCCACTGTAGTCCCAGGCACCCATGTCACATTCTGAACCATCTCAACCAGCATCAGAAGTGTCAGTGACTATACTGTTGGCTTCGGGCATATTATTTTTTGAGATCCCATGTATACCCAGAATTTGTTGGGACTTGGACACCTATGGTAGTCCAGGGAGAAAAAAGAGGGAGTTGTATAACTGTAGCTTAGTGTTTTATTTTCATATTGTTGCTTACATTCTCATAGCCATCACAAAAGAAGAAATACTTCACAGTGTGTTAGATGCGGCTGGATGTTTATGGGTAAATTATTAAAGAAAGTTAAGTTATACATCTTAAATTATCACAATGTTTGTTCTATAGATCACCTCTGCCCCCACAACCAATATTACAGAACTCACAGAACAACATGCTGTGGCAAAACCACCATGCAAAAATAGGGGGGTTTGTTTCAAACTCCCCACTAATTTATTTGTTTTTATGTTGCTGGCAGGCAATTCACTAAAAAGTCTTAGTGTGCAAGGCCTATTGGTCTTGTTGTACATGAACCAATAGGATTTGGGAGATGCATAGCATAAAAAGTGCTCAGATCTAATTTAATCCTTGAATTTCCACTACAGTATATGCTATGTAATGTCTATTGCCTAAATATGGCTCTGCAACAACATGCCCCAATATCTTTTATCTATTTTTACCAGAGATAAAGATTTCTGCATATCACATTATTAATTACTTCCACTTGTATATTATCATAGTCTAAAATATATTTTACATTGTATTTTAAATCTTGTTTATGTAGAAATTTTTAAGGAAATAATACTATTTCTTGATCCCATCTGAAGAACCTGAAAACAAACCCCATGATCTTTGCTGATGTTCTTGATAGATTTTCACTTCAGCACATAATTTATAGGCTAATTGTCACAGCAAAAGCCACAATACAGCACACTTACACACACGCATACACATACACACACTTGCACACATGAAATGCACACAATTCAGCAGACAATGTCAACAAACTGGAATATAAGCCAAGATCATTCTACCTCTTTTCATAACAGGTTAGTGCTCGCCCTCAGTGTCGGTGTACAGTTTTTATGGCATGGGAAAATTGGGATGTTTCTTCCCTATAAAAATAAATGCGTTGGACGCTTTACTTTGATGCTTTAACACAGTGTTGAAAAAAAGTGATCCAAAGGCACTAGCACAAGAATTGAAAAAATTAATCCAAAATGATATTTTGTTGTCGTTGTTGAAAGAGTGGCTTAAAGTAAGAAAATGCAAAGTGAAATTGAATGGATCCAATTGGGTTATGCTTTATCAATATTTTCTTTCATGCATATTCTCTCTCCTTCTCTTTCCCTCTCTCTCCCTTTTTTTAAAAGTGAGTTTTGTTTGTTTTGCAGAAAAGGTAAATACGGGCATGCTTGTTATATAAGCCAGGGAAGTGAATCCTTGCTTGATCTGTCTTTGCACACGTGGATGAGGAATTATCAGCAACCAGAGCAAGGAATCTTCTGACACCCTCAACAAGGTTTTCACACTGGTGAGAATGAAGCTTTGCACAAAAACAGTAATTTTTAAAAACATGATTGTTGTGCCCCTCTGCCCTCCCCGAAAACAGTATTACTTGCCATTCAGCTATCTAGGAAAACTAGGCTGACTCCTACTTTAGTTGATGACTGGAAGCACCAGGTGGGTTGTTTCCGTCTTTTTAACAAACAACTAGATATGTGTTTGCCTAAACTGAGGAGAAGAATTTAGCACCTATTCTTCTCCTCCCAAGTTTAAGCTGCATTTATCATTCAAGGCATTATTGCAAATAATTCCACGCAGGCCTGTGTTAAAGGAGTGCATGGGGGCTTGTCATTCAAGTAGTATGGAAGAATATCTGCTACCCAAATGTCTCACACTGTTATAAACTTACCACACTGCGTGTGAATTTCTCAAAAGATGTTCGGCGATCCAGTGTGTTTCCCAACTTAAAGTGAAAGAAAAAATTTAAAAAAAGGAAAGGAAACCAAACAAAAGAGAGAAAAAAAAACAGTCTGGGAAAATAAAGGAAGAATGAAGTAATGGGCTGCGAAAACATGAAGCTCATGTATAAAACACGAAACAAACACAAGTATAGAAAAACATGCTGACGGAAAGTTAATGAGAAAGATTTTGTGTTTTTCACTTGATCCAAGAAGAACAGCCTGCACACAGAAAGAGAGTTGCCAGCTTGCTGTTCCAAATATGGTCTTGTACATGTGATACAGCCTGGATTTTAATTTTTTAAAAACATTACACCCAAAAGCAAATGGATAAGGCTCCTGTATAGTTAATGTGCCACTGGGTGGGCTGGCTGACACTGTCAGCTTTGACAATGCAATCAATTGCAAGTTGGAATGCATTTACTGTTCTCTGGACCAAGACCTTTGGTTAGAATGTCTGGATCAAATTGTTATAATGTAAAATAAAAAAATGAAAGCAAACAATGAGGTGTTGACATTTTGCTTGTTAAATGACCACATGTTTTCAGAACTCCAGAATATAACCTGAATTACTGGCTTGTTCTATCCCTCCATTTCTATGACACACTAATTACAAGGGAGAGCAATTAAACTTTTGACAGCTGTGTAAGCATAGTTATTTCTGTTACATGTCATCAAGTTGCCTCATGGCAACCCTATGAATGAGTGATCTCCAAAATGTCCTGTCCTTAACTGGATGCCTTCCATCTTTCTCAGCACTATTGTCTTTTCCAGAGAATCTTGCCTTCCCGTGATGTGCCCAAAATAGAACATCCTCAGTTTCAACATTTTTGCCTCCAGACATAGTCCAGGCTTGATTTAATCTAGGACCCACTTGTTTGTCCTGTACATCACGTACAAGGTATTAAATCTAAGGGTCATATGACAGTGGATGTTAAGTATGCCATATCTAGTTCTATATATCTTTTAAAAAGTCGAAATAGCAAGGATGAGGGTTCAAAATCACAATCAATACAGCACAAGGGGTTAACCCTGTCACAGCCATGACAATAATTCCCTTTCTTTCTCTACTTGCTAATGCAGGAGTCTCTCTCCTGTGAGAAACAGCAGCTCTGGATCAAGGGAACACTTTTTATTGAGACTATGGTGGAGAAGGAAAGATTAAAATGCCATATCCCATAGTTCTAATCCCGATTCCAATACACACATGTTTAGAGAGGTTTTTAAATGGGCTTTCTGTCATTTTAACAACTGAAACGGACATCTAACAAATAAACTTTTAGAAGATAGCTGAGTTTGGAATGAAATTCCTGTTACAATCTTTGTTTTCTTCTTCCTTTTGACTCTTTGTGACTAGCATAAGGGATCATGATTGAAGACCAGAGTGATAGACAGTGAGAATGAGACAATGGAAAGAGTGGATCCTCAACTTCCTTGGTAATATGTGACATGACTGGGAATGTTTTGAGGGAATGACCTTGCTTGGCTGTTGTCATCACAAATATATTTCAATGCATGGATCTTTCAGCTAGCATTGTATGTTATATACACATAATCCAGGTGTTTATACAATTATTCTTCTTAAGAAAATATAGGGAACTTAAAGCAGTGTGTTTAGGGTCTCATATGAGACCTGTTTTTGCAAAGTAACAAAGGCCTTATCTTATTATGACACTTATTTTATTTTCAGTCCACTTCCTAACAATTTCTAATTCTCAGACATCCCTTCATATGGACACTGTACCCTAAGGTAGCATTTTCGGGGCCAGCTCCATTTTGTACTAAGATAACTATCTTATGCCAGTACAGGGGAGTCATTGTGATTGCTCTTACGGATTTTAAAAATGTTCTTCTGTGTTAAGTTTTTATTTGTCATCTTGTTGTTCCATTAATTTCTGAATGATTATATTGTTTTATTCTTTATACTAACTGCCTTGGGAGCTTTTATACAGTATGCTGAAGATATGTATCCAGAACAAGTCGAATGAATAAGCTAAACAATTCTGTTAAAAGCTCACATTTGATCTACTCCAATAAAAATGTCAACAATGCCACACTTGAATTATTCCAGAGTTTTCCCTTGAATATCAACTGTACTTAATTTCTTCCTTAATTAATGTTTAATTAATTATTTAATTAGTGTCTGTCACCATGAAAATGGGTGCTTATAATTGTGATTCTCTGCAATCTCTGTTTTCACTGTATTACCTGTAACACCTCTGTGATCAAAAGGGCCAGCCTACCTGACAATTTCTCCGTCTTGCTATATTAATTTTTTACAGTGGTACATACAGTTGAGATAAATGACCACTTTGTTACTAGATTTTTATACTGTTCTTATTCTGAGTTTTAATATATTTGATTAATGCTTTTTGAATATTGTAATAATTTATTATTTGACTTTTAATTTTCTTTTAAATACTGTATGCAGCCTTGGATCCTTCAGGAGAAGTGTGGCAAATAAATATTTTAAATAAATAAATAAAATTAAATAAGGCATTAGTCCCATTCATCATGCCTAAAGAGAGATTTAAATCCATGCAGCCACTGAAAGTCTTGAGCATAGTGACCCACCTCCACATACCAGTCTTAGCCTCTCCGCTCTTTATGATCTCCTACCATTCTCATCACACTACAGTGGTGCCCCGTATTATGATGACCCCACAGAATGACGAAATCGCATGACGATGACTTTTTTTGCGATTGCTATAGCAATCACAATACGATGTTTCCTATGGGTTTTTTTTGCTGGATGTCGATTAGGTCCTTGCTTCGCAAACCTTTTGTTTGCAAAACAACGATTCTCCTGGCTCCACAAAATGGCTGCCCTGTCTTTTCTGGACCCATGCTTCGCAGGGCAGCCTTTTAAACAGCTAATCGGTGCTCAGAAAATGGCTTCCCCTATGGGCAATCTTTGCTGGACGATGAGGTAATTTCCGCATTGGAACGCATTCAATGGGTTTCAATGCATTTCAATGGGGAATTCTTTTTTGCATGATGGCAATTTCACTTAACAGCGATTTTCCTGGAACGGATTATCGTCGTCATGCGGGGCACCACTGTATCTAGTGGTAGGATCAGTTGCAAACTCCCTATGTGCAATGAGAAAGTTGGAATGGAGCTCCTACATGCATTTTGCAAAATGTCCATTTACAGAAACTTCCTTGTGACTGGGAATCTGAATAAAAAGCAGAATTCTGGATAGTGCAGCACCTTCTGTTATTCTGCATGGCAAGGTCGCAAGTGGAGTAGGCAGACACTGGGGGAAAGAATTCATTATTCTTATAGGGACTGGAATTCCCTGCTCAAGCACCACAAACAGAATCCTGGTAATCATTGACATTGATTCTGCCAAACTTGCTTACTAGGAATCGAAATGAGCCTCACTGAGCTTGGTCAGGCTTACTTCTAAATACATATGCTTAGGATTGTACTAACAGATCTGAAATGTATTCCTCTTATAAAGAGAAAATCATTGCATAAGCTGCAGAATGAAAAAGACTACGGCACTTAATTTACTCCGAATTTTCTCTGAAAGGTAATTTCCAGAAATATTTTACCTACTCATAGGCTATTCTCCTGTTTTAGTTTTCTGATTTATGAAGCTGTTTTACATAATCTGAGCAGGTTGTTCAATTTATTCAATCATACAAATATGAAAAATAAATATAGCATGGCTCCATCTAGTATTTTGTGATGCTCAGCTTAACTAACTTCCTCACCTATCTTCTCTGTAGTTGAATTACCCAAGAAGAGAAAGAAGAAAGTAGCCAATATGGCAGTAAGATATCACCACTGAAAGAGGAAAAATAAATAGCCAAGATGGACCAATACCTTCTTCTTGGCCTGTAGTAGTTCCTGGTAGGCACTGGATCGTAGAAAACGTGGATATGAATCACTTTTCATCAATTTGTAGATGTGCTCCTACAATATTTAAAAAATAGAAAGCAGATAACAGGACCCACAAAAAGAAAGACTGAAGATCGCCACATTAATGCTAATTTCATCCATTCATTAATTCAACAGACCTCACTTGGGAAGGAACACCTTCATCTTTAAAAACAAAGGCAAGAAGTCTGTGCTAGGTAAAACTGCAGAGCAAACTTGTTAAAAAGAAATATTTCCAATTATTTCCTTTTTCCAATACTGTAATTATGACTAAGTTGCATTACAATTGCAACTGAAGCAATGATCTCACTTCTTCTGCAGCACAATGTTGAGGTGCAGTTTCATTATTTTTCTTTTATGGTTGTGTAGTCTCATTAAATGGTGGTGGAGCAGAAGGAATAGAAATGAAGAAGCAAACTCAAATCCTTCCCATGTGACTGAATAAAAAGCCTTAAGATCTTTTAAGCAAGGACTAAAAGTAACAGTACTAAAGTAAGGCAGTAAAAGTTGGTAAAGGGAAAGTAAAATTATTGTACAGTTGGAACAATAAAAGTGACTAATTACTCTTTACTCTTCTGAGCCTTGGAATTGTAGCTCCATTGGTCTGTAAAACTCTGTCTAAAGACAACATCCCCTTGCATTCTTTAAGTGATGTTGCTATTTAATTAGTTATTTCTAATAGAAAAGAGCTACCAAAAGTAACAACAAAACATCATTTTTAAAAACCAAAATGTTTCACCTCACTGCAATATTAAGAACATCTCTAAGGAAAAATAAATACAGAAAGCCATCTAGTGGCAGGAACAGAAGTTAGTGTTTGTTTCTTACATTTTAGGAATTTGAAACCTTCTTAGTGTCCTGTGTATCAATTGTTTCTTACATTTTAGGTGTTTGAAACCTTCTTAGTGTCCTGTGTATCAAAATTAGAACTGCTTCCAGAAGAATGCTTGGTCAATAGTCAGGATAGTAAGAAGCAGACAGCTGCAGCCAAAGATCATGTTAAATATTCTGTATATCCACCTACCCATTAACAGTATGGCAGAGCACAAGGGCTAGGATCCAGTGGCGCACCTGAGATATTGCCAATTTAAGACTAAATCCAATAGATTTAACTTTCCCCCCTCTCATCCCTGCCAGCTCTCCACATCACTTGAGAACTGGATCCATAGGGCTTCTCAGATCTCCAGTGTTGGATTCTTCTGTTCTACTAGCTGAGGACCTACCACCACTGGATCCTACCCCTTGTGCTCTACCATTTTGTCTAGTGATTAACTACTGTCTAATGATTAACTACTCTTAACTCTTTAACACTATTAAAAAGCATTTTTTCATCTGTGGATCAAGACAGTGGATAAGTACAGAATTCAGAAAGGCAGGCAAGAGTATATAGACCAAACTATACACTATTGCTCAGTCTCAGGCCAACAGCACTATAAACCTCAGGTGCACCTGCACCACTGCAGGTTGTCTACCCATAGAGTGGGCTATCTTGCAGGTACAAGCTACAAATGTCTTGGATTAAGACTGGTATTGTCTTATCAGCTGTTATTATTGGCTACCCAATAATACCTTTAAATAAATAAATAAATAAATAAATAAATAAATAAATAAATAAATAAATAAATAAATAAATAAATGTAGTTCGTAAATGAAATGGAAGAAAATACACAGTTTTAATTTCTAATTATCATTGACAATGAAGTTCAGTCATGTCTGACACTAGGAGCCAGTGCTCATCCCCATTTATAAGCCAAAGAGCCAGTGTTTGTCCATGGACACTTTCCATGGTCAACATGGCCAGCATGACTAGACACAAAATGCTGTTATCTTCCTACTCTATTTGAAATGAAGGAAATGATGAGTTGTCACTGTGATCAATGGTCTTTTGTGTGCTACTGAGGCGGTACCTATTCATCTACTCTATTTGAAATGAAGGAGAGATGATCTGTCACTGTGATCAATGGTCTTTTGTGTGCAGTGATCACTGGTCCTTGTGGCTGGGTAGAGTTCGTTGACCATTTGCAGGCTGTATTTTTCAGTGATGAAAAATCATCTCTCCCCCTTATCACAACAATACACCCACAAAAAACACACTGGTCACCAGAATCACCCAATCTCCTGTAAAGGACAAAAGCTGATCCCACAGCTATAAATACTCAACTATCCCCCAAACTGCACCAGAGCACAGACAGAGTTTTGACTCCTGTCCTCTGAAGATGCTGGCCACAGAGACTGGCGAAACGTTAGGAAGAAAAACCTTAAGAACATGGCCAAACATCCTGAAAAACCCACAACAACCATTAGATCCCGGCCGTGAAAGCCTTCGCGAATACTTTATAAGTTAACATTAGCATCTTGAATTTGGCCTGAAAGCATATCATCCACCAATCAGTCTTCATAATTTCTTCTTGTGAGAAAAAAAGTAATGGACAAAACAATTAATGACATTGAACTGAAGGATGAAGGTAGTTAAGATGGACACATGTTTCTTAAAAATGAAGGTGGTGGGGCAAATGGAAATGGACTGAAGAAGCAACAGGTTTTCACTGATAGGTGTCTCTGTAGCCAGCAGCATACAAATGAATTCTGCTAACCTGAGCATCGCCAAATGTATGCCGCCCTGGTTCCTTCACATTTTGTGTTGTTTTGTCATAACTTTTTGAATCTAGGTTAATGGCACTCGGTGCTCCAGGGGCAAGAAATTCTTGCCAGATTTCTTGTACTCTGGCAGGGACTTCCCGCATTGGTCTCTTTTTCAAATCTTCTACTGCTAACCAGAACCTGTAAAGGGAAATGTGCAAATATCAGTTATGGGATTTAATGTTAGTATCCTTAGCTTCCATGGACCTTCTATAAATTCAGATGAGGCCTGAGCCATTTAACATTTTGAGGTCCTCTCATTGTTTAGGGAGCCTTTAAAAAGATTAAAATGGGTTGGGTGTCTCAACCTGTAGTGGAAGCAGCAGCATCTGCTAGTCAAAGCCCTTACAAATTATGACTCATTGGACTATTTAAGTCAAGTTGATTAGACATGTTTGATTAATCATGAAAACTGTGCATGAAAATACAATACAGTATAACCAGGACAAGTAGATGTTTGACCATCTCTGCTACATAATATGGACAGGATTTTAAATTAAATAAACCAGCTCAGTGGAAGCTTCTGAAGGTTGGGGTGATGCTCTAGTAAGCAATGTAATAAGAACTTGAGGAAGAGAACTTAATAGGGACTAATATAAATCACCCTAACCCCTAACCAAATACATAGAAATGTACTCCCAAGGTAGCTGTGACTTCAATGGACAAAAAAATATCCTACCTTAAATTCTCTGAGCTGAATTCAGATTCCAAGAATTTGAGGAACTGCTCTCTTCCCACGGGGTCTTTCAGGGCTTCATCCATGCTAAACCCCCATCGCTTTACTCTTTGCTGATTTGGCTCTTTGCTGAAAAGTGGGATAAGGTGTTTACACACAGAGCAAAGACTAAAGGTTCACAGAAGTGACTTAGTCAGTTACATGCTTCATAAATTTCCATCCTCAGTTTGCCATTAACCAAAGTAGTATTTTATAATAAATTGTGTCAAATGAGTGGGTGAAGTTACAGCATCAGGTGGCATATGAGACTTCCTTGTTTGTTTTTTGCAGTCCTAAGACCCTACACTGGTCCCTTTTCTTTAAAAAGAAAAATAGGCACTCCTGAAGGCTCCAGGAACAGCAAATCATACCAATTCACAGCACCATTTAACATTTAAAACACAACACATTTTTTTCAAAGCTAGAAATGAACCTACAATCTGCAGTTTTGAACCCAGGGGTGGGCTTAAAATCACTTCTGGTTCTGTATCTCACTGACCCCACATCCAGTCTGTCTGTCTTCTAGAAAGTCTTGAGCACACAAGGTTTGCCCTCAAACCCACCAAAATTGAGCACCCCTAGTCAAGGGACAGATTCAAACATGACACTTTTTCCCCCTTTCAGCTGTTCACCATCAGAGGTGAACATTTATTTCATGCTTCCATTTATTTTGTGGAAGATGGTATATGCTGTGTGAGGTGGATGACAAGGTATTAGTTCTATGGACAAAGGGGTCAAATCATTGGTCCTTGTACGTCAGAATACATATGTAAGTACTGTCTGGAATCTATGCTGTCTAGCAATATCACTACAGGGTTTTGGTGGCAGTCTTTTCCAGCCCTAACCTGAAGGTGTGGGGGATCTGATGTATGCTCTGCTACTAAATAATGGTCCTTCCTAATTTACCATGATGTATAAAATAGTAGTAAACTCACATGTCAGAGCTGCCTCTGAAGAGCAGGTAGATGGCTAGTATTTGTTTTTTTGTTTATATGCTGCCGTTCTCCCCATAGGGGAACCAAGGCAGCCCTCAGCAATTAAAATCACGCTATTAGAGTACTTGTTCTCTTTGGAATTAAAAGAGTGATGGTTCATAAAGCAGAAATCTGTCTATTTCAGCATCTTAGCAAAAGAACATGCTCCTTTCAGTTTCAGGGCTGCTGTACTAGGTTAGAAGTACACTCCCGTAGCTAAATGTGGTTCCATGGAATCTGCTTTTCACCTCACCTCCTATCCTTGCCCCTGTCTGGTTTTACTCTGACAGCTTTCTGACTAATTGTAGGCATAGTAGCAGCACCTGATGGGTAGAAGGCAGTGCTGTCTGCTGGGGAAGTGTGGCCAGCACTTTAATTTCAAATTAATTATTTTTTAATTGAAAAGTATATTGTGTTTTTAACTTTGTATTTTAATTAGTGTGAGCCAACTCAGGTTCCTTTATAGGAGAAAGGTGACATATAAATTACATAAATAAATACAAATCAATACATTTGAATTTCCCCCACTTTGATTCCCCTTTATTGGGAGAGGAGGAGAGATCTAGAATGAGTTAAACAAGAATTAAACTTGAAATATATATACTGTATATTTTTGGTCTGTATTGGTTCAATTGCCCATTTAGAACCTGAATGTACAAATTAAGATTTACTGAGTAAATATCATTTATGCAAAACTAAAATATAGGTCCAAAATTATATACAACATACCTTACTTCTGCTTCCCAGAAAGTAGTATCATCTGACAACCAAGGATTAGAAGGGTCAGGTGGCACCAGAAATGGGTCATATTCCAAATACTGCTCAGTATAAGCTATTAGACTAGAAAAACAAAATTTCCTTCTAATGAATTGTAATGTGAATTTTCTTATATATGTCTTACATTTTTTAATATTTTTCTTGTGATGCGACTTTTCTTATACTTTATTAATGTTAAGCCTCTGTCTTCAGAAGGCCTAAGTATTTGATGACACAGGCAGTATGTTCAAGTCTGCCGCTAAATTGCTTTAAAAAAAAGACAGAACACACTGCCTTATTGGGAAAAAGTGGGCAATAATTGTTCTTATCTTTGTTACAGCAGAAATAGAATTAGTTCAGCATAGAACAACCAGGGCCAAGCACCCAGTAACTTGATTGCTGGTCAATACAACCAGCCGGATCTTTTGCTTGGTAGCCCATAAAATGATAGGTGTAGAGCACCCCTAAGGTGCAAGACCAATGAGTACCTCTGCCATCTCTTTTGAAGACCAAAGTGTCTCCCCCAAACAGGACCTGGTCATGCTGGCCTTCACCTCAAGACCCCATAACACAGAATAGGACTCACTAACCCTGGATCTAGTCTTATGCATGAAACCACCGAACCAACAAAACCAGGATGAAAGGATCCATGTCTATAAGAAAGCTCACAAGTATACAAATGTATTCCAGTGCTGCCTTATATATCAATTCAGCAATTTAAACCCAATTATTCCCAGGTTCCTCAGGGGATAGGAAGGTAGCTGACACTTTTCCTTTAAAGTCTCAGCACTAACTAAATGAGAGAACACCAGAGAGCTGCTTTAATACTTCCCTAGCTGACCTGAGTGATATGTACCCCACCCTTGTCCACTTGGGAAAGTCCCACCTTCAGTGGGGGTAGGTTTCAAGTAGATTGTGGTTAGCAAAGCTCCCATGTACTGTAATACATATTTTTGAATACTATACTCTAAGATGCTCAAGATTTATCAACAAAGAACTTTATAATATTTGCAGCAAGAAATGCCCAATGTTCAAGTTGGATGCAGAAGACAAAGAAGCACTAGAGATCATATTACAAATATACAATGGCTATTGGAACATAACAAACAATTTCAGAAGAAACTCAGTATGTGCATTATCGATTTCAGCAAAGCCTTTGTGTGGATCAAAAAAAGTTGACAATCCATCCTTCTAAAAGAAATGGTTGTTCTTCAACATTTGATTGTCCAGGTGCATAATATATACTCTGAATAAGAAGCTACTAATAAAATAGGAGAAGATTCAGAATGGTTTCCTGCAAGCAAAGGTGTCAGGCAACAGTATATTTTATCTCCTCTTGTTCAATCTGCATGCAGAATATATCATGTGGAAAGTTGGATCCATTTCAGATGGAGGAATGAAAACAGATGGGAGAAATATCAATTATTTTAGATATCCTGATGACACCATCTTACTGGCAGAAAGCAGCAATGATCTGAAACTACTCCAGATGAAGCTGAAAGATGAAAGTGCAAAGAAGGGCTGCAGATGAACATTGAGAGACAAAAAAAATCATTGCTATGGAAGAACTATACTACTTTAATGTTGACAATTAAGAAATTAAAATTGTCAGAGATTTTTTTATACATTTGTTCAAACAACAGTCCAAATCAGAAGAAAATGAGACTACGAAAGGCAACTAGAAAGGGAACAAAATCCTCCAATGTAAATATGTACCACTGGAGAGCAAAGTAAAGATAATCTATACCAGTGGTTCCCAACCTTGGATCCCCAGATGTTCTTAGACTAAAACTCCCAGAAGCCTTCACCACTAGCTCTGTTGGCTAGGATTTTTGGGAGTTGTAGTCCTTCTGGTCTATACTATGGTGTTTACAGATGTGAAAGTTGGCCCATGAAGGAAGTTGACAGGAATAAAATCATTTCATCTGAAATGTGATGTTAGAAGACAGCTTTCTGAATACAACAGAACTCCAGAAAGACATCTTTCTGGATGTCAGAACAATCAAACCAGAACTTTCCCTAAAAACAAAAATGACTCAACTGTGAATATTGTATTTGGGGAGAGAAGACTCGATGAAAAAGTAAAAACTCTGAGAAAAGTGGAAGGCAGCAGGAAAATAGGCAGACCAAGAATGAAGTGGCTTGAATCCATTGACAAACCCATGATCTTGAATCTGCAAGAATCGAGCAAGGCTATAGGTTATGTCGGATGTCACTCATAGGGTTGGATGTGATTTGATGACACATAGCAACAACAAATTTAGGATGATGTGTGCTTCATCTGTGATTTCCCCCCTCCCAGAAAGCTAGTTAAAAAGTCCAATACAACCTTACAAAGTGCTTAGTATAACATGGTAACATACATACCTTTCTGCAACCTTTGACATTTTTAACCGATGTCTGTCTAGCTGTATTTGCCAATATTTTATCTACAAATTGTAAAAACAGAATGCTGAGATTAGGAAGCTAATGTTTGACTGAATTTTCAGGCACTCTTAATGTTTAAATAAATACATTTTAATTTTTATCTAAGAAAAATGGGATTGCTTTCTATGAGCTGCATACTAAGTTGTGATAAATTTCCCAGCTTTCTCCTTCTTTCTGACTCCTCTGCATTCTCATTCTGCAGACACCCCTTATTGCACACACCTGTCTTAAAATGGACAGTGAAAATGGTATATGGGACAAGCTGGATGTGCCTTCTGAATGTGTTCATGTTAGATGTGGCTCATATTAGATCTAGATTCCCAAAAGTTGTGATGGAAAGAAATACACTGCCTAGTTGTGATATTTTAAAATCAATGTGGTGATCTCAAAATGATGTGTTATATTTGCATTTAATTGTGCAGAATGGGTTTGGCTCAATTCGTTCTGATAAACTGGTGAATCACTAAATCAAACAATAATATAACTATGGCACCACAAACCTCTTCATGCAATTCTTCTTCTGTTGGCGGTTTAGCTTCTGGTATGGGTGTGTGTGTGGGACTGTGACTTCGAATATCATTCTGTAATCCATAGACAGACTGTCAACAAAACAGAAATAAAGGAATTAATATGTTTTCAGTGTTTTCATATGTATAGACACATGAGCTATGATATAATTGTGTACCTGCCTGTGCACTATAGAAGGAAAACTTGCATTCAAATGTAACAAATAAATATATCCATTTATCTAGAAATTTTAATGTATGAAATTTACAATATTTGCGAGTTATCACCTCTCTTTTTCAATATTTGAAAATTTCATGTAATATAATAATTGTATTAAGTTGTACATGTACTGACAAAAGCATACTCTAATGCTCTCTTTCATGGTGGAATAACTTGCGCTAATGTACATGTATGCCGAATGATAAGATCCTAACCACACATGATAAAGTAACCATGCTTGGAAATACCATTTTAGCCCTAACTTGCTGGAATTTTCATGGCCCTTCACTTTAAACACAGTTGTAAAGCTATGTGGCAGAATGTATAGTCAGTCGGTCTTCTGTATTTTCCTTCTGTTAACGACAGAACTCCATAGCAGATCTCCCTAATTTTATCATGGTTTCATCATTACTCAGAAGGCTTTCTTAGTAGTTTGCAGAGTTCCCAGCTAAACTGGGCCCTCTTGTCTTTTTTTATATAAACAGAAAATGATCGTTAGCAGTTAAACTGGGCTGATACAAAAGAAGATTATGATCCTGAAAGTCTGCCTTTAAAAAAAGAAATTCTAACTCCTTTAACACTTCTCTGTTTTAATTAATCTGTCTACTCTTTTTAACTTGCAGTTGTTATATTCATTTTATTTTTAGCCCCATTAAGTCCCATTTTGGAGGAATACAGAGAAGAATAATTTTATAAATAAAAATATATTAACATTTTATTAGAGGTCACTGTACTGAAAATAAGTAAGGATGGCCCATAAATCTTATAGGCTAACAAAAGGAACAAAAATGTAATAGTGCTCTAAATGAATTGCTATGTGTACATGCCTTCAAATTATGCCAGACATTTGACATATGACTAATTTTTGGCATAATTCTTTATGTACTAGAGCCAATAAAGAATTACAATTTAGTTTCGACTGGCTAAATCTTAATATTTCTGCTTCACTTGAGTACAGCTTGGACTGCTATTCTTTAATTCAGATATGTAGAATACACTGAAATTCTAAGCCAGTGACAAAAGCATAAAACTTAACTGTCACAGGTGCCACAAATTTTTCATTCTTATTTTGGAATGAGTTTTATATAAGATTGCAACTGATAAGAATTATTTACCAGATTTGTGTTAGCATGTTGATTTGGACTTAAACTTCAATTCAATTCTAAATAGTGCTTGAATATTGTCTTCCTTTGACGACTTGTTCAAGGATCTATTCTTCTGCCACTTCTGGAACTAACACAGTGAAAGTATATCTTGGGCTTCCAATTTCCACTAGTCTTACAGATTTGGAATCCAGGGAAGCCACTGTTAATGTTCAACAATTAGAAAACAATAGCAGCAGGCAAGCTGCCACAAGGCTACCTAAACTCATTGATTTTAGCAGATGTTAGTACAAGCAAAGCAAGCTATTCAACAACAGCCAAAATCATGTTGAGTGTCATCCACTGATGTAACAGCCAAAATCATGTTGAGTGTCATCCACCATTGGCAGTGGCTTCCTTTTCCAATTTTGGCTACACACAACCTCATTGCATTGTGTGTGACCCATGTATACCCCAAAATAAGAAGAGTTATTATTCATCAGTGGCAATCTGCTGCTTCTGCTGCACAACAAGAATGGCAGGTGCGCAACAGGATTTCAACCCATATAAATATGTGTATGTGTGTGCAAGTGTGTGCAAATAGGTGTTCATGTTTTTGTGAATGCACATCTATTTTTAATAAGCAGAACATGGTTGAGAGTTACAGGTGGAAGAAGAGTCAGCTCAAAGGCAAGCTCTAAACCAGGAACATCTCAAAGTACTTCATTTCCTGAGCTAAGACAGGATCTACCCCATCTCTACAAACAAACTTCAGCACTAGTGGCAGGCTTGCATAGACAAGAGCACTAAGATCACTCTGCCTCATAATTGGGCCAGCCTTGCCCAAACCACGACCTCTGATTGAAATGAGGGAGTATATATTCCTTACAACAGCTATGTCAGTATTTCCCTCAAAGTTAAAGCATCCATTTGGTTAATTCAGAGGAGGGCAAAGTCTGCCCATCTATATGCTGTCTGACTGTGATTCCCATTGGCCAGCATAGCCCATGGTAAGGAACTCTGGGAGTTGCAGTACAACAACTCAGAGGGTCACATTTTGCTTACCCACAAGCTAAACCATGATCAAGATCTAGCGGTTTGCCCTACTTCGCTAAAGAAACAATATTTTCTTTGCAGGAAGAAAGTGAATACCAAAAGAAAAAAAAACTTCCTGTTTTACAGGAGTCAGGAGTAAGCGCAGACCTCCTCACTTTTAGAAACACCATCATGACACTTGTAAAATGGTGTGAACAGAATATGTCCAAAAATAGCATGATGTTCCTTTAGCATAAAGAAAGAAAAACATTTATCGTACATAGGCTGCAATTCTGATTGTAGCACAAGTCAAATCATAAGTTTTCAGTCAGTTCCTTCCTTGTAAATGAAGAGTTAGTGCTGCAGTTCTCAGAAGTGCTGTGTCTGTGAACACATCCGCTAGAATTGTGGTGGGGATGCTTTGTTTACCAGGGAGGAATGAACTGAAAAGTTGCAACGTGGCCTTTGCTACCATCAGGATTTCAGCCACAGAATGATAATGAGAAACTATTACCTACCTTTCTCGTTTTATGAGGATTTCTCATTCTTGAAGACTTTTTAATATCCACTTCAGTAGTATTTACACATCCAGGCTAAAAATGAAATAGAATTAAATAAGAACATGTCATTGCTTCAGATGCAGTTTGTTTAGCTAATAAATCTAGTTTTGAGTTAAGAAGGGTTGACTTTAATCCTTCAGTATGGTTCTTCACTGGCTTCTCCTATTCTTTTTCATTTTGATGCACTGTACAGCTGCTTTACAGTAAAAAAAGTGCCTGCAATCTGATATAAGATGTGAGACCACATGTGACCCTCCAGATATTTAAGTTCAGTCAGCCCCAGTCAACACAGCCAGTAGCCAGGGATGGCAGTAGTACTGGGGACACTGCAATAGACTATTGTATTCAAGATGCTTTTTATGGTGGCCCAGATAGTGTAGACAGGACATACGTACTATGTTGTGTGTTTATGTACATATAGACATTCACTTGTAAATCTAAAAAATAAAAACTAAAATACTAACTACCATTTAGTAAACCAGTCTCAACGAACTGTCCCAGTAGCTCTGGTTAATTAGGTCCTAAACATCTACTTATTATTATTAGAATTATTTTATTTTATAAAATTATATACTGCCTGATTTAGTGAAATCATTACTTGTGGCGGTTGACATAACCTGAAGCAAAACTATATAATCCAGCCAAAAATAACCAAAAACCACCCCAATAAATAAATAAATAAAACAATGACTAAAAAAGGTGACCCTGTGATAACACCTGAAATAAAAATACTGTAAAACTCTCACAAAATTACAATAAACTAATAAACCATACAAAGTGGATAAATGTAACAACAAACTATAAAAGAGCCTAACATAATATAGCAGAATATAAGAAATCATTCTCATGAATTGTAGAACAAACTGTGCATTTATTATGTAATGGTATAAATCAAATACTGAAGAAATATACAGATTTTGGTTCATTATGCTCACACTGAGCTATTGCCATAAGCCACATATAGTTTTTGCAAACAAGTAATTAAATGAAATCATGTTGCAATTGCTGCTTTCTAAGCTAGTGTTTCCTGGGAGAATTTCTTCACTAACTTATACATACTGTGCAAAAAAATGATGCAAAAACATTGACACATTTAGATTTTGCTGTTTCTCCTCTGTATAACATGAAGTAAGGTACAACTAACAGCAGCTGTTTTTTAATCTTAACCCCCAATCCTTCTTTAAACCCATCACTGAACTTACCAAAGCAGAACTACTTGTGTATGTGTTATGGCAAATCATCCATGAACTGCCCATAATAAGACATGCCTTAAATGCTTCACACTACCTTCTCTTAAGGGAGGGGGAGGACATTAAGGATCAAAGAAATCATCCATATTAGCTACGTATGCTATAGATTCTGTTTCACCATGGTAGGAGAGCATCTAAATGCTTTACACTACCTTCTCTTAAGGGAGGGGGAGCAGATTAAAGATCAAAGAAATAATCCATATTAGCTATGCTAAAGATTCTGTTTCACCATGGTAGGAGAGCATGCACATTCATGCTTACCATTCAGATTGATAGCCTCCTTGGAAAAGACTTCAGATAATTGGGGGTCAATCCAGCTACCCCACTAAACTTGCATAACTCCCATTTGTGCAAGCAATAGTGGCTTATCTGAGCTTCTGCAAGAAGGTATCCAGGACCTCCATGCATGAGTATTGTTTTTCATGTTTGTAGAAAGATGGCACAACAGTTTCTACAAACATGAAAAAGGTGCTTGTGCAAATGGTATGGAACAGATGCCATCACAATCCATCGTAATGATGACAGTGATTTTTATTTGCCTACTTGGATTTTAGCTAGTTAGGATTTACATGTCCTCCAAGAACTTCAGAAATTGAGAAGGGAGAGAGGAAGAAAGTATACATGCCCATGCATGTGGGAGTAAATCTGATCTTCAAAACATAACTATCTGCTTGGGCACTCCTGATCAATGTCAGTCCGGTATTTGATGAGGAATGTAGAACTAAAGCATGCCGCTCTGCTTTAAAAACAACCCCCCCTGCCCCCCAAGAAGTATATTAACTCCTAGTGAAACTACCCAGTAATTGTTCCAACAAACAGTAGACTGCTGGCTGAGCCATATTTGCATCGGTTACCTTTACCAAACATGTTTATTGGGGAATGTATTTTTCTGGAGATGTAGGATTCACAAATGTACTTTTCTTCCTCATCAGCTAAGACTACAAAGTACAATTTTTAACAGCAGAAAAAAACAATAAATCATGAATTGTTTCATTGCTGCTTAAAGACTGGTTGTTATTTGCATCCCTCTAAACATCATCAGAATGATGTCAAAGTGAATTAATTTATTTTACTCTGTAGCACAACACATCATGGAATTTCCAGTGTATAATGTCCCAAGAAATCTGTTATTTACAACCATCTCACTTAGTTTCTACAATGTATTTGTATTCTGTGTATATAAACCTTGACCTGTTATGCACCATGTGTCTGAATATGAAAACTCACACTGAAATAAATACCTTAGCCTTTAAGGTACCACAAATACTTCGGTTTTCAATTTTGCTTTTAATTATACATACAAAGCTTGTGAGGCAGATTAGCATCGATCACTTTTCAGGACCACCTATCTGTGCAAGCTTTTTGGTCTCTGTAACCTTTCAAAAAAGAAAAATGCATTTCTATAGATAACTCAGAGGAATAGAATATTTTAGATGTTGACTTTCTAGCTCAAGATATATCACAATCTACTCTTTCCCTACCCTTTTGGCACCTCACCAAGATCAGAAAATGCAGCTCCATTCTGATGCTGTCAAACTCTGCTCACCATCTGTAGCAGCTTCCTGCTTCATCTACTTTTCTTGGTACATCCAAGCCAAATTCACCCTGGTTTTCTAAAAATCTGGGGTATGTGTTCCAAATGAAGACTCCTCATAGCACCCAACACCTTCTCCTCACACTGAAATATTAATTCGGTAACACAGAAGATTTTTAAAAAATCAAAAGTTAAATGAATAAAATGATAACTGACTCAGTAATTTAATTTTATATCCCTGCTTTTTAATTTTGATGTGCTCCCTTATTAAATAACCCCGTGTCAACCATCTGCTATTGTGATGTGCAAAAAAGTTATTTTCACTTATATATTTTTAAATGCAATTTGTTTAGGGCAGGGTTTCAACATTAATAATATTTTTGTTACTTGAGACCCCATTTAAAGTTAAATAAGCTGACCAGACTGTTGTTCTAAATACTTCTAGAATATTTCTCAATGGATCCACACCTAAATTGCTACTCAGTAGGCTGCTGTGCATAATGAAGCCTTCCCAGGCTGTGCCACTCCTAGTTTAAATCCAAAATGTTCTGAACGGTATAACCCAACAGCACCACATCTGAGTATAAAGACGGGTTACTTACCTGTAACCATGGTTCTTCAAGTGGTCATCTGTGAATTCACACAAAAAGGGTTAATCCAGCACCAGCGATGGTCTTCTCGGAATATTCTAGAGCTTGAATAGAAAAGAAACAAAGTTTAAGGTTGCCTGCACTGCGCATGCTCCGCCCGCCCTAGCCTCAGTTCCATTTATCCGCCACAAGTACCTGAACATGAGCTCAACCTGAGCATGGCTTTAATAAACAGTTTAATAAATTCAGTGATGGATAGTGGGGAGGCCAGGTGGGATTGTGTGAATTCACAGATGACCACTTGAAGAACCATGGTTACAGGTAAGTAACCCGTCTTTCTTCATTGTGGTCTTCTGTGAATGCACACAAAAAGGGTGACTAGCATGCTAACTCACCGGAAGGAGGGCTGTCACTGAAGGACGGATGTCAACACCGCTCTCCCGAAACTTGTCTCTCTCTTTGCCCTTAGGTCTAGTCTGTAGTGAGTGATGAAAGTGGAGGCATTAGACCACGTGGCTCTCCTGCAGATGTCAGGTACATCAATACCTCACAGGAGGGCTGTAGAAGATGCCACGGCTCTGGTGGAATGAGCCCTCAGACCTTCAGGTGGGACCTTGTGCAGAAGTTCGTAGGCCAATGAGATGGTAGAGACAAGCCATCTGGAGAGTGTTGAAGACGATGCTGGTAAACCGTTCTTCTTCCCAAAACAACAGAGGAAAAGTCTATTAGAAGACCTACATTCTTTAGTCCTTGAAACATAAAAAGCAAGTGCCCTTCTGACATCTAAGGTGTGGAGCATGCATTCAGTGTCGGTGGCAGGATTTGAAAACAATGTAGGTAATAACAGGGGCTGATTCAGATGAAAATCAGTAACCACTTTAGGAAGAAAGGAGACATCAGTGTGCAAAACCACCTTGTCCTTGAAGAACTGTAGAAAAGGCTGATTAGCTCTAAGAGCAGCTAGTTCACTAGCCCTTCAAGCAGAAGTAATGGGTACCAAAAACGGAATTAAGAGATAAACATTTTAGATCACATGTGGCCATAGGCTCAAACGGTGGACACATAAGGGCATGTAACACTAACTGCAGAGACCACTGAGGTACTAGTGGTTTAACTGGAGGTCTCAAATTTGTGAGTCCTTTCAAAAAGGCTTTGACAGTAGGGTGAGAAAAAAGTCGAGAAGCAGCAGAGTCCCGAGGCTGGAAGGAGACAATTCCAGTAATATAAACTTTCAAGGTGGAAACTGATAAACTGAAGTCAAAAAGGTAATGTAGAAACTTCAACAAAGTAGATAAGGAAACTGGGCCCTAGATTTCATAAACCTCAGAAAACTTTGCCATTTATACTTGTATAAACAAGATGTAGAAGACTTCTTTGACTTGTCTAGAACCTCTTGGATCTCGGGGATATCCTCCATGCAGTCAAATGAAGCGTGTCCACTTCTGAGTGAAATATCCTCCCCGCGTCCTGCGTTAGTAGACCACGAAAACAAGGAAGCTTGACAAAGTCTGCGGCCATCCTCATTAACATTGGAAACCATGGCTGACGAGGCCAGAAAGGTGCTATAAGAACGGCCTGCACCGACTCCTGGCGAAGCTTCACCAATGTTCTCTGCACCAGAGGAAATGGGGGAAATAGATACAGAAGGCCTACATTCCAACGTACCATGAAAGCATCCCCCACAGAGTCTCTGCCCCGTCTGGCTCTGGAGGCGTAGAAGGAGCACATCTTGTTGTACTGAGTGGCAAATACATCCATCATCGGGGTGCCCCACCGCTGACAAAAGTCCTTGAATACAGTACAGTTCAGCTCCCATTCATGTGTTTGCCATTGACGACGACTCAGTTCGTCTGCGAGCTTGTTGTTCTCCATGGCCACATGTATCACTACCGGAAAGACATGATGCCGATAGCACCATTCCCAAAGCGTCACCGTGAGGTGCAGCAGGGACCTTGAGCATGTGCCTCCTTGTTTGTTTAGATAATACATGGCCGTGGTGTTGTCTGTGACTACCTGCACACCTCGGCCCTGTACCAGAGGAAAGAAGGCCTTGAACGCTTTCATGATGGCTAAAATCTCCAAATGATTGATGCGGAGATTCCGTTCCTGCGCTGACCACAACGCATGTATGCGATGACTTCTGCAATGAGCACCCCAGTCTGTCGGACTTGCATCCATGGTGACCTGGACAGACAGACAGAGAGGTTGAAAAGGTCTCCCTATTTTCAAGTGAGGGACTTCTGCAATGAGCACCCCAGCCTGTCGGACTTGCATCCACGGTGACCTGGACAGGCAGACAGAGAGGTCGAAAAGGTCTCCCTATTTTCAAGTGAGGGACGAAGTTCCACCATTGGAGTTGTTGTGTCAATTCTGGAGTTACCTGAAGCTGGGTTTTTTTTTGATGATCTGTCAAAGGGTTGAATAGAGATAGAAACCACACTTGAAGGGATCTGAGTTTCAATCGAGCATGAGCCAAGCCCGGGGTCATTGATGCCATGAGGCCTAACAGGTGTTGAGTGTGCTTTGCTGTAACACATGCCCCTGGATGGAACCTCCTGATGGCTTTCTGTATTTTTTGAATCCATTCTATTGGGAGGAAAATACGTCCCTTGGTGGCATCTATTGTGGCTCCAATGTAGTCTACAACTTGCGAAGGAACAAGATGAGATTTTTTTTTGTAATTTACCGTGAGACCCAGGTTGTGTAGAACATGAAGTATGAACTTGGTGTCTTTCAGGGCCTGACGTCTGGACCTGGAGACCACCAACCAATCATCTATATATGGATAGACTTGGATTCCATTCAGCCACAGGTAAGCTGCCACTGGCGCCATGCATTTCGTAAATGTCCTTGGAGCCGTTGCCAGCCTGAAAGGAAGGGCTAGGAATTGATAAATGTTGTCGTGGAAAACAAACCTGAGGAATTTGCGATGACTGGGATGAATGATTATATGAAAATAGGTGTCTTTTAGGTCTATGACCACAAACTAATTGTTCTTTTTCAGCAGGTGGAGTATCGACTCTAACGTCACCATTCAGAACCGACAAGGACAAAGGTAAGTATTTAGAGTTCTTAAATCTAGAATGGGTCTTATACCCCCGTCTTTTTTGGGAACGGCAAAATGTCTTGAGTAGAAGCCGTTTGCAATGTCTCTTTTGGGAACTTTCTGAGTGGCATTCTTTTTTAGCAAAGATAGAACCTCTTCTTCTAGAGCAGGATCGAATGAGGTATAATTTACCTGCCCTAGAGGAGGATATTCTATAAATTCCAGCAGATACCCGAATTGTACAATGTTTAAAACCCAAGAGTCTTTTGTAATGATGGACCAGTTTTGCAGATATAGTAGAAGTCTTGTTGTAGGATTTGGCATGTATGTTATTGTGGTTGAGTCAAAGATATTGCTTCGATTTCTTGACAGGTGGTTTATAGGACTGACGTCATTGGGAGTTCTGTGAATGGTAAGTATTTGTAGAAGATGCAGTATTAGAAGGTTTAGCTTGAGATTGACCTTTGAATTGTTTTTATTGATGGGATGGATAGAACTGATTATAAGGTTTCTTCCATTGGTATCTATTATATTTGGCTTGAGGCTGAATATAGTAAGATTTGGCCATCTTCTTAGCCTTGTGAAGTTCCTCGAGATGACCATCAGTCTTTTCATTAAAAAGACCCGAGGCATCGAATGGCAAGTTTTCAACCTTTGTCTTCACATCATCAAGAATGTTTGCTGCCCTGAGCCATGCATGCCTACGAAGAGTCACAGCAGACATGAGAACTCTCAAAGCAGCCTCGACTGAATGTCTAGTGGATATTCTCTGATGTTTGGAAACGGTCTGTGCTTCCTCATAGGTGTTGAGAAATCCTTGCCTAACATCTTCTGGTAACATCTTTAATCCTGGCAAAATTCGCAGCCACAGCTGCTTCTGATACGCACCCAAAGCAGTCTGATAGTTGGCTACTCTAAGCATGAAGGCAATCAAGGAATATATCTTCCTGCCAAGCATCTCTAACTTCTTCCCTTCCTTATTCGTGGGAGTTACGTGAGACCTCCCCGTTTTTTGAGTGTGTTTTTGTGGAGGCAAACACGGTCTCGAAGCCACCGAAGGAACAGAGTGAGCCAAAGATGCCCGCCCAGTAGACACGGGGCTGTGAGGCGCAGACACCAAGCTTGCAGTGACATTGGCAAGCTGACTCGGTGTCGGGGAAGGAATTCCCGAAGTCTGAGGTGGCTCAATCTGTCTAGGAGGGAGAGAAGCAGTCACCTCCGACAGAAACTCCCTATCCTGCGACGAATCTTCCAAAAGCGGGGAGGGTAGAGAAGCAGGGACAGGTGGCAAGTCCTTAATCACTTCTATGTCCTTCACTGTTTTCTTTTTTGCTTGCTTTGCAGACTTTGTGACTGTAGCCTTGGAAGTGGAAGGTTTTTTTGAAGCGGCGGGCTTTTTCACAGGCTTCTCCAAAGATTTTCTGGAAGCCTTGGAAACAGGTAACTGAATAAGGCTGCCTTCAGCAGGGGGGTTAGCGGCTGAGGCAGGAGGTCCATAGAGGACGATTTAGACGGAGCCAAGGCAGTGTCCCAGTGGTGGTACTTCAGACGTTGCTGTCGTGCCCTTAGCGCAGGGTTGGTAAAAGCCTTACAATGCCTACAATTTTGGGTTAAATGAGCTTCTCCTACACAAAAAAGGCATTTATCATGTCCGTCCTGAAAGGGGAGCTTCCTGTCACAAACAACGCAACAGCTAAACAGACCGGAGGGGGACATAAGATGGTAGGCAAAAACAAAGGAGGGCCGGTAAAATTGGCAGGGAAAATCCTAAGCAACCAAGTTAAAGGGAGAAACCAAGCCCAAGTCCATAAAACGAAGCCAAGTCGAGTAGGAGAAAAACCAGAATAGTCAGACAACGCGCAGACTTCGAAATATCCGTAAAAATCCAAAATAGCGGGGGGGGGAGAAATACACAGAGCTCAATCCGAGAAGTTCCAACTTGCACGGCGGAGAAATGGAACTGAGGCTAGGGCGGGCGGAGCATGCGCAGTGCAAGCAACCTTAAACTTTGTTTCTTTTCTATTCAAGCTCTAGAATATTCCGAGAAGACCATCGCTCGATTAACCCTTTTTGTGTGCATTCACAGAAGACCACGATGAAGAAACATACTTATTATTATACTTATTGCACTTATTGTTGTTGCTGTTGTTGTTAATGTTGTTACTGCTTTTCTCCCAACAAGCAAACCACTAACATAGTGTTAACAATATAACAACCCATAATAAATATTGGCCTGCTGGCATAGTTCTTTTGTGTTATACTAATATTTGAATACATCTGCTGATCAGTGACCGTAATAAAGACCAATCAATCTATATACTAGAAACTATCTAACACATAATTATTTTGATTATAGTTGCTTGCAAAGATTCATTCATTTACATACCACTGGCCGGTGTACATCCCAAAATGCTCTCTCCTGGCTATCAAGGATTTTCCTCTCTATCTTGTCTCTTTTCTTGTCCACTCTGTTGATGGTGAGGTACATATGTAACATAAAGAATGTAAATTGAAATACCTCTTACGATGGTGGAGGACAAATCCAGCAACAAAACGTCAATGGAACTCACTTTGCTTGTGCTTCTGCTTGCATAAAAATAAACTCCCATTTCCGTGCAAATGCTCGCTGTAACCTGGCCAAGCTCTCCTGAAAACATACCACATATTAGCAAGTTTCTAGGATAGCTTTTTAACAACTTCCTGTAGGCTTCTCAGGGCAACTGTTTCACCAGCTGGACATTGTAAAACATTTTCACTGATCTACATTTATATGTTCCTACTGTGTTTTGTGAAAATTGCATGATAATTATAGGCAGCTCTTACTTATTAGATATTACCTTTAATAATGAAAGAGAAAAGATTTTTGGGGAAACTCTTTGAAAAACCTGAAATTTTTCTAAAATAAATTTATCTGTATCCCTTTTTTTTAACAGATCTAAATCCCTATAATTTCCCTTTGCTGATGTAGGAATTTCTGTTACTGGATTTTGGCAGGATGCCTAGGGGCCTTGTTTACAGAAATGCTCATATCTAAAAACCCTCGAGTCCTTCTTTTCCCCATCATTCTTTTATTCACACAGGGCTTTCTTTTTTTTCTCCTGGTCCCAAATAATTGCATGGGAAACAATTTTTGTTTTGTTTTTTGGTAGATGCGAAATCTCTCAGGGCAGAATGGATCCTCCATGTTGACAAATGATAAGCGGGTCAGGATATTAGTTTTTAGACCAGCACACAACTTTTCCCACAGGGCAATCCTGTATCTAAAAACTGCCAACGTAAATGTTTCATTCACATCCTGACTGACTTCCAAGAAAGACTCAGCACTGCTTTGTTTCTCTAGTTTCATAACATGCCAGTGTTTTTCTCAGAAGTAAATCACATATAAATAAACATAACATTTTTAGATCCAGGCAAAACTGATGGGAAAACTTGTAAAATGTAATAATATAATGCAGAAAGCATTCTTGAGAAATTCAGTGTTTAGGCTGATAGAAACTGAAAACAGAAGTTGGCATATTCATTTCCAGCCACATTCATACACAGACCTCTCTGGAAGTAAACTCAAATGAAAATAATGAGGCTCACTTTTGAGTAAAGCATGCATGGCATTACATGCTTCTTTCTGGTTATGACAATGTGCTAAGTGATTTTAAAAAAACAACCCAAAAATCTGACATCAAATTGGTGTTCAAAATCTAACCTGAGGTGTCATTATTATCACAGCAAAGTATCAAGGAAATGTACTTAATATTTTCTGTAGAATAATAAGACATTATTAAGACAATCAAGATAGTTTTAAATATTACTTTTGTATTCCTAAGTATTATTTCTGTACTGTGGAAATCCTGTTTTGAAACAATATTTATGTGTGAAGGGAATCCACTGCTCAGAAAGTAGACTTACAAATGCAGATCTTTTTGGCAAATCCTTGTTAGAATGTCTTTGTTTTGTTTTTTGTTTGTTTGGTTTTATTGGTTGGTTGTTTTTTTGTTTCACTGCTCTAGGTACACAAGTTTGGAAGCCAATGCATATGTAAGTATTGTTTTTCCAGCATGCATACATGGTCTGGCATTAAGCTGTTGAGTATATTAGCTTCCCTTCCTATGTAAAAGCTCATCCAGATTTTAGGCAATATGATGACACATTTTGGATTGACCCTAATTTTATCCCTTCAAGCAGCTTTTTGTATTCAGGACCAAAATGGGCAAAAATGGACATTTGCTATGCATGCAGTCAGAAGCCTTGATTATTGTTGAATTTGAAGAATCTAGTTACATCATTGAAACTCTTCTGGAAGCTTGAGTTGAAGGTTTTTGCCATAGTTCTCTTTAGCATCATGTAATGCTGCAGATTCTGTAGTTCTCTATAGTGCATGGATTTAAACACTCCAACTCAAATACCAGATTCAGTGGACCAGCCCCTGCGTAAAATTTCCTGAACTTACAGGTTTTTTTAAAGAGCAGCATTTTAATCATACAAATAAACAAAAATCTGTCCACATACTATCCATTATCAGACTCTAATTTGGCTGGCATCTCACTTTCAGGAAAGGCCCCAGGTACTTACTGCTTCATAGTCTGCTAGCTCAAGCCGTGCTTTGTTTTGCATTGTTCGCTTGCAGAGGTAAACCGCTGGAACACAAAAAATAATCAATCATTTCTTGCTATCTCAGATACTATCTAAAATCCCAGACATCAAGATCTAAAGGCTCCCTATGCTTTCCATTCAGTTAGGGTTCCTAATCATTGCGTCTCCATCCTGTCTTTCAATATCAAAGGCTACAGTCAATCCAAACAGAGATATTTTTCTCTAAGATTGACTGGGTGTCACAAAAGCAGTCATAACAGAGCGAGAATTCTATGCCTTTCTTTTTGTATTCGTGGATATAAAAACCTCAATAGATTGGAAATATTTAATTAATTTGTTCCGTTGCTTTTCACTTTTTACTCATTTATAGGTCCTAAATAGAAAGGGCTATGGGATGATTTGGGATTATGAAATCTTAAAATTGTAAGGGGGGGGAATGCTACTGCTTTTGCTTCTTTTAAGCTTCTTCCTTTGTGTGTATAATGGTCCAAGTGTATTATTATGAGGCAATCAATTCAGAGTATTCGCCTCTTATCTACTCTCTTGTATTCAAACATAATGAAAGTAAGTGCTTGCAGAGGCTACTTAGCATTCACCTTTCTTCCTTATGAGTACCCAACTCCCTTGGGTGGCATAAATTCTCCAAAAGTCTAATGGTCCCCAGGTGGGGAACAAAATCCATTTGTACTGTATCACAACAGGGACTGAGGATGTGTTTTCTGCACACAGCATTTTTAACAATAAGAAATTAATCAGTGGCCCAGTATTGCAATGGATCATCCAACCAACCAGATAACAATGAGGTATTTTACAACGTAATTCCTCTACAAAGCTCTGCAAGTTAGTTTCAAGGTTTTCAAACAATATGTTTAGGAGAATAGGTCATCTAGAAATCAGACTACATAGTGTGCTCAACATATATTTAGACACAGTGCTCTCTCAAGTTCTGAAATACATCCATTTGTCAAAGGATGTGGTTTCCCACAATGTCTTATCTTTTATAGAGCCCAGACCGAGGTAACTGCATGCCACCTATTCCTTTGTAGCCATTCTATCATTCATTTTGGATAGGTGGAGGGTAAAGTGAAAATCGTTGTTATTTAGGATTGGCAATCTAGATTTTCCTTCCCTTTTCTTATCTGGCTTGGATAGTTTAATAAATTGTTCACTACTAGGATTGAATGTTTGTGTGACTATAGATGAATGTCTGTGATCTTCATGTATTGGCACTGACTAGCGAGGCCAGAATTAGTGCAGTAGGATCTGTCCTAGCTCCCCTTCACTTCTACCTTTGTCCATCTTCATGGTGGTGCTAAGACAGCTTTGTGCTGGCCTTTGTGCAATTATAAGAAGACACCTGTGGGCAGATGTAAAAGGCTCCTATCTCCAATCTACCCCAAAGCATTGTGTATCACTACCGCAAGGAATAGTCATTTGTCTTTTTCCCATTTGTAGGAATGGGGTTCTTCACAGAGATTCAAAAATGTACGAATATTGTTACAGACATAGCTGTGGGTCAGTTCATAGTATTACCAAAAGGTCACAGAATACAGTACATGTGTATATCCTTTTTCAGGCATGGACTGAGTTGAGGGGCCACTGTACATCCCATACATAGGTGGTGAAAAAAGAAGTTTTAACTGCAATACACTTGCAATTAATGACTGTCACAGGAAATGGGCAGTATATTGTTGTTTAAAATAAAATAGTTACATAAAGTTTATTGCAGTCTTTTCTTTCTGTGCATGGGGCATTAGTGCCTGAAGTGAAGGTGGCCAGATGTAAAATTGTTTTAAGAATGGAAAAGGATGTTTACTTTGTTATCCCAACAGTTTTAGGAATTCCTGCTGAGATACTATATTGTACAGTAAACAGCATTACATAGTAATTCTCTTGAGGTAAACAGGTCCAGACAAGAATTATTGGATCCAGGATCCCTGATTGATGTATTGAACAAAAGGGGCCTAGGTGATTTTTGCCTCTCCCTTTCTGATTCGCATGGGACATGATGTCATATTTACATATGGCCAGTAATGCTGAGAGACAGGTGGTAGCACTGAGCCCCACAGGGCATCCTTTGGTGACTAGGTATCCTAAATGGGCACCACAAATCATTTGATTCAGGTATGCAAGCAGAGATGGCCTTTTGAGACAGACTTGGAAGATGACCAACCTCAGTTCATAAGAATCGGAAGAGAGATGGGCCTGGGCATATACAGCACTAACCCAGGGCAAGGGACCTACCCAGCTTGGACTAGAGAGGGGCCAGCTTGGTCCACCTGCTCTTGTTCCCAGTTTCAACGCATTAACTTCAGCCCCACCTCAATTCAAGGATTTAAATAGTCAACAAAGTTGTGGTCTGAGGTTGAACCCATCTTTTATGTCCCACCTCTTTACTGCATTTAATGGTGGCGGAGGTGGGGAATATACCTTTCCTTAGTAATAACATAACTTCCTTTTTATGATTTCAAACAGCAACTAGTTACATTAATTGTAGAGGACACAATGGAAACAAGGTGGGAAGATGTTACTGTATGTTCTGAGCTCCTGGATTTAGAAGATAGTGAGATGACTTATTCTGGACAGACTTCTGTTTCCCTAGAAAAAGTATATATATAAGGATATTCTTTGATCCAGCATTGTCACTTGCAGCCCAGAAAGTATGAAGGGCTAGGAGGGCATATTTCCAGCTCCAGGCTAGTGGCCACTTACAATCCTTCCTAAACTATGATGATTTATGTTCAGGCAACCTCCAGATTGTGCAGTTGCAACATGCATTGTTTGATTGGTTGATTTGATTTGATTTGATTTTTGCCCCACCTATCTAGTGGTGTATGACTACAATGGGTACTTGCAAATGTTTTTAAAAACCCAAACCAACAACTAACACTAAATGGAAACAATCCAAAATATCCCCAGCAGCAACTGGAATAAAAAACACAACAGAAACAACAGAACAGGCAATCATGAAGGGAAGCTATCTGGAAAAGCCTCACTGAATAAATATGTTTTGAGTTACTTTCTGAATGCTAGAAGGGACAGGGCCTGGCACATCTCCACTGGCAATGTATTCCATAATGCGGTGGCCACCACCAAGAAGGCTGAATTCCTAGTCAGAGATTTCTGGGACTCCTTCAGGGTGGTGAGCCACAGGAGTAACATCACCATCACCTGAGTGGAATGGGTGAAATGGGTGGAATGGGTGGACAATCTCAGGGAGAAGTGCTCTGAGAAGTAGCGAGGTCCCAAACTATTAAGGGACTTATATTTTAACATTAATAACTTGAATCTGGCAAGGAAGAATATTAGCACAAAGTGCAGGCAGGCCGAGACTGGAGAGATATTTTCAGATAAAAACCAGACCTTTCTACACCAGTTGCAGCTTCCCTACTGCCTTCAAGGACAGCCCCATGTAGGGAGTGTTGCAGTAGTCAATCCTTGAGACTACTAATGCACGAACTAGTGTTGTTAAGGGTTTCGTGCGCAGACAGGGCCACTACTATGCAATCTGCCTAAGAATAGGGAATGAGAATTGGGGAGGAAGGGAGAAGAATTTTGTAAAGCCAAAAAAGATCTAACTGTATTTAAGAAAGCACATATTAGAAATGTTACAAATTAGAACACATGTAGTAAAATAATTGAGGTTACAAGATCACAGCATGTTTGAAAATTAGAATGTGCTTTCTGTGGGACTGCTCTGGTAGATGCTTTTGAAGCTCCAACTCATGAAGAATACAGTACCTGGTTGCTAACTGGTAGCACCAGTGGGATTGATGCTCTTTCAATCCTGAAGGATCAGAACTGGTCACCAATTTGCTGTCAAGGCCAATTCAAAAGAGTGATTTTGATGTATGTACAGTATATGTTTTAGGTTCTCAATATTTGACAGAGCACCTATAGACTAGCCTGGGTGCTCATCTCAACAGGAGAAGCCTATTACCTCTTCTGAAACATGGCCACAAATGCTGCTGAGGAGTTAGAACCCAGTACATCTAGAAGGCACCAGGTAACGGTGGGATGTGTTACTTGGAGCATTAATTATGACAATGTAACTTTTATAAAAGAATCTCAGCAACATACCAGAAGGGCAGAATAGACGGCTTTTAAATAAAAACATAAATAAATACTTTAATCTTCTTAACTACTGAAACTGAAACACTTTCCCACTACAATTCTCCAGTCTGACTATAATTTGAAGCCAAACAAGTACTGTGTTATGGGGCTGCGCTTTGCCCGTCTTTGGCTAAGTGAATAAACACCAGAGACTAGCTTTCGACCATATACCCTGTAAAAATATGGGTGCCCTCCTAATTATTCTCTTTTAAGCAGAACTTGAATACATTTTTTTATTTAGGCAGACTTTTAATATCTAGTTCTCTAGCTGTTATAATTATTTTAATAATTGATACATTTAATTATAGGTTTAATCTGTGTGGTTTTGTATTTTTATTATTCACTGCATTGTCCTTTGGGGAAGATGTTCTGAATGCTCACCAAGTAAAAAGACAGAGTTCAATGATAAATAACGGTGGTAGTAGTGGTGATGAATGACATGGGTCAAATGTTAGCTTTTGCACACACAAACACACTCAAAGGACTAACCTAAAAAGTTATTAATAGATTCTGGTTGGTTGTAAAGAAACCGAAGTTAGTCTGTTTTATGCCCTTCACTGAAGCGATAGCAACCTCTCTAGAAATAGATGAAGAAAATGGTGGAAACTTATAAAAGGGCAGATCTACATTTTACATGTAAATTCTCTCCTGGGTTTTCCAGTTGAGTGAGAGAAAAGTGGAAGAGGAAAGGGCTGTGTGGTGACCCTTTTGAGTCAATGGGCTGCTCAAATCCTTATTCCCAACCTCTCCCTTAACCATCTCCTCTTTTTTTCTAACATAGGCTAAAAAGCAGTATTTTGTGAATATAACTCTCAGACTCACTCAGCCAGTGTAGCCACTGCAGTTCTAAAAGTAACTTTTCAAAGGGCTGAGATTAAAATATATTTGGCCCCTGTTATGTTTTATCTCTCAGGAAGAAAAGCAACTCTGTGGCCAAATGTCTGGGGAGGAAAGGTCCTTACAGCCAAACTGAGAACATCTGCAGCAGCTTTAAAGAGAACTAAATAAAAGAAAGATGTCATGGCAAAAGAACATAAGGATACATGGAACATGTAGGTCCTCTTTAACAGAGACTAAAGCATGTTTAAGGTTATTAAAATCTGTATCAGTACCAATCCACTGAAATCCGTAGGAAGGTAAAATGGTTAAAATCAGTTGGGACCAAACTAAGCTTCACTGAATTGGGATCCAGCATAAACACAAATAACTGGAGTTGGACCTGTGGTTAACCAATTTAAGTGTGTCTGCACTAAGTTTCAGCCATGGGCCCAAATCCAGGATGTGAGATCTGCAGGTTTTAGATCACAATGCTCCAGGGTACTGACTGCATTTTCTCTTCACAGACTGGGACGCATGATCCCATCTGTTGCTGTTCATTGTTATATGGAATTAGTTTCCTGTACGTAGAGCTGGAATTGAGCCAGCTAATTTTAATATTCTAAATAATTATGCATACATATAGTTCCCCAGAAATTGACTTGCATATAACTTTATTCTTTGGGCTGCATATTTTAACATGACTTTTGTAATCAAAGTGGTTGCCTTCTGGTAAAATAAATGGTACATATGTTGCTGTCTTGTGCAGATGATTAGAGTATCATGTGAAAATAAAGACAGACTACAAAGTGCCTAAATCTAATCGGAAAACCTATGTAAGTCTCTCTGCTTTACATTACATTCACCATTAAAATAATTGAAAAAAAAATTAAAGTTAAGAATGGCTGTAACTGTATTTGCCTTCCCTTTTCCTTTTATCACATAGAAGTATTCTGGTGCAGTCTCCTCTTGAGTCAACCTTTCCAGGCTGACTGATTTCAAAACCGAAGTGCTATCCAGGGTTCATCCATTTCTTTTAACTTTAATGGGAAAAGAATCTTGTGTTCTTTTCCCCTCAAAAATTGCTTCTGAAGGCCTGAATGGGAAGCAAGCAAAGGAGGAGGAGGAGGAGGAGGAGGAGGAGTTGAGGACGAGGAGAAGGCAGATATCCCAATGGGATTTTGGCCATTCGGATTATACCTTCCTAAATAATGAATGACTCTGTCATTGAGAATTCCTACCAAGAAATATACACAAGAGGGACTCTTGGTTCTTTCCTAGCAACAGATTATAAATACACTCTACCACCAGAGGGCCTTCTCTGGTTCTTAGTTGGGCATGTTCAATCCAATCCCACCACTGTTAGCAACTCAATTATACCTTCAAACTACTTCAGAGCTCATATGTTTATTTTTGTATTAGCTCTTCTTTTTGGTCAGTACTAGCTAATTATGAGATTCTAAACCATGAACAAATAAGCTGACTAATTACAACCTCACAGTTTTCTCTATATAAAATGGAAATTGAATCAGCTGTTTAGATGGATGTGGGCTGTACTTAGACAAAGAAGACAGGATGGGGAAACTTAAGCCACCTTGGGTCCTTTTATGGAGAAAGGTGGGATAAAAATAAATAAAATATGTCTATGTCACTAGGCGCATACAATGTTTTTATTTTATTTTATTTGTTTATTTATTGCTTCATTTAAAAAAAGTAAGAAAGAAGGCTTGTATATGTTTATTTATTGCTTCATTTTAAAAAAAGTAAGAAAGAAGGCTTGTATACAGCAGCTTCATGGCAGGAAAAGAGCACTTTCTATCTCAAGAACTCTGTTTTCTGTTGTGACATATAGGAATGGCCATGGATCACATAGCAGAAACAGAGCTTTCATGTCATCTGGTTGCATTATATTTTCCAGTGCCACCAGTTAATACATTTAAAGGCAAATAAACTAAGGATGCAGTATGGAATGAGGAACAGAAAATGAGTTCTATCCCTGTATGAATCAGTTCTAAGATCATGTGGTAGACTGAAAGATTTCCAGGCCTGTAGCATGTAAGAACTGAGACACATGCCTTGACCAACTCTGATCTTTTCTGGTCTTCACATTTCATTAAAACCGATTGCTTCTAGCAGATGCAATCATATGCTCCAGACATCAACATATGTCTCACTTTGAAATCTAAATACTACTGCAAACATGTGCAAGTACTGATACTCAACAGCACTCATCTTCTTTCATCCTTCAAGCACCCTAAGGTAGTTATTGCCAATGTAAATTTCCCCTGTAATTTTACTTTAATTCAGAATATGCAGCTCAGGGAATGAACAGTAGAGAAGCACGGAAATTCAGCTTTGAATCCCCCCCCCCTAAATAAGTGAACCATATAACGTAACTAAATAGAATACTGTTCCCTGATACAGGGAAGAGGAAACTCCAGAGTTGTCCATCCATCCTCCTAGCTTTTCTGCTTTCACTTAAACCCATCTCCAAAGTCCCAACCCATTGAGCAGACTGCTAGGGAAAAGAACTGTCTTTCTGCCATACGGAGGTGGGAACCATGACTTTAATTAATGACAAGAGGTAAGAGGAGGGTTTTTCATTTTATATCAGTGTTCAGAAAGAAGAACTGTGGCTATCAGCTCAGTTATCACATCATCCAATGTTTCCCAGGTGTGTGTCTCAGGAGAAAAGCTGTCCCCGGGTGAAAACAGTTCTCTCCTCAACATTTCTATCTAATAATATGTGACAATTTAATGTGTTTTTCTCCCTGTTAACTGATGTGAAAACAGTATCTCTCTTAATTTCTTCAAGTCTTGCAATAGTTGAGGGGTGGACCGCTCTCACCCATCCAAGGGCTAATTTTGTCCCCTCTTCAACCTGTCATGGGTCAAGCTACAAAATTCAGCAACAAGGTGAAAGTATTTAAATGACCATTTCACTTCCTCAGAAATCAGTTTCTAGAAAAAAAGGGGGTGGGCGGGCTGCTATAAATCATTTAAAGTAATGTGATTTTTTAAATTTGCCACCAAATTCAATAGCAATCCAATATGCTGCCTTTTAAGGGAAGCAAAATGCATCCTTTAAGTATCAGCAGCATGACTTCTGCCTATTATAATCTGACAGTTAGATGGGACCTAGGTCTAAGTGTTCAGAAACTTCTTTCTCATCCTGGTATGTTGGTGACCAAGGGCTTTCAAAGATGTATCCGGAGAGCACAAGCTCCAGCTGTTTTTGGTTGATTTTTTACCATGCTGTATAGCTTTAATATACATCCCTGATAACAGACTGCATGTCTGTCACCAGATGAACAATTTACAGGATCACTCCACAGGCATTTAGGCTGTCGTTGGGTCCACTATGGTTATAGGGTAGTTTGCTCCTCTTGCTTGTGATCAGATAACATAATCTCTAAAGCGAACCAATCTGCCCCCAGAGTGCTCCTACCTGCACTTTTCTGGATCCCTGCCAGGGGCTAATGTTTTTTAGGTGCAGATAGAATCACTCCATTTCGATTCAATTCCAGCATGTATGATGGTTGGGATTGAACCAAAGCAGCGGACTGTCCCTTTGGAGAAGCGAGTTAATTGAAAACTTCCTCTGAGCTATCCTTTGGCAGGCAGGGCAGGGGTGATGTTTTGGATTTCTTTTTAATTTTTGCTAAGGTATCAGCAATGCTTTGAAAGGCTTTTTTTAAAGTGCTGTCAAAGCATCACGGATTTGCTGCGCTGGTTCACAACCACCATTAAAAACAACTGGATGTTTTTTTTTGTCTGGTTCTCCTCTGAAGGCAAGGGAGATTTGAAAAGAAAGCTTTCCATTTCATGACTGAAGATTTCTCAATTGAGAAATGGGAAATGTGCCCTTTAAATGTTTCTTGTCTTTGGAAGAGAAGGGAGGCAAAAAAAAAAAAAAAACCTTCCTGTTTGCTTTTCAAACATTGCTAACAGATGCAGTGAATCAGTAATGCTTTCATAGCACTTTTTAAAAAATCCTTCCACAGCATTGCTGACACCTTAAGAATAATTAAAAAGACATTCAAAACATTGCCCCTCCCTTTCCCTCCAAAAAAAGAGCTCAGAGGAAGTTTTCATTTAAGCAGCATCTCCAAAGGGACAGCTTTAAGGATGTTCAGAAATCTTTAATTTTAAAAGCATTTCCTATAATCACGCATGTGCCCAAGCACCCACGCAAAGATGTGGGTGGGTGCGCGAATGGGCGTGCAGGCGCTCCTGTGCATGCACGAAGGGGTGGGGGAGTGCTCACGCTGATGTTGGTGTGTGTGTGCACGCTCTCCCACCACTTTGCACATGCACCCGAGAGAGAGCATGCGCCCAAGAGAAAGAGAGAGAGAGAGAGAGATGGGTTCTGCCAGGAGCAGCCCGGAGGGCGAGAGAGAGAGAGAGAGAGAGAGAGAGAGAGAGAGTGCTGGGGGGGGGGCCCCGCCTTCCTCAGAGGCTCAGCCGTTCTATGGTCCCAAAAATGTTGAGACTGCTAATGTAAAGGATCTGGCAAAAAGTATCCTATTTTTGTATTCCCAGTTCATATGCAAATTTGACCTCTGCCTTAGTAAACTTTGTAAACCAAAGCCAATCTTGAGCTCAGCATTAGCAGTTCTTGCCCGGGTTTGAATAACAAGGCCACAAATACTATAAAGGAAATACAGAATTTAAATAGACTTTCATCCACACAACGTAAGACTCCGGACTGAAAGAAAGAGATCCACACTGACCATAATCTGTGTTTTCCGGCTCCCAACAATTGGATGGCCAAAAATAGGGTGTCTGCAAATCAAAACGAAACAGAGACATTAAAAAACACAGGCTGTACCCTACAACACTTGTTCAATGCTTAGCTAGAAGCTAATATTTTCCATTGTTGCTGTTGGGCATTCACCTGTGGGAGATGCAGAATTGTTTGATCTGTACAACTTCTAGAAAGCCAGTAGAGCTATGGTCTCTTTATGGATTTTTTTTTAGAGAAAGGGGGAAAAAATCCAATTCTAAAATAGACTGTACATCAAAGTGACTCCAAGAAGGAGAAGGAGGATGTTGGTTTACCAGTAAAGGAGAAATATTATGTATCGTATAATAATTGGACAGATTTCTGTACAGGAAAAGAAAAACTATAACTCTAGAGCAGGGAAACGAAAGTGAGTGGCTTTTATTATAAAAGTAGAAAAGAAGAGGCCAATGTTATACCATTGGTCCATCTAATCACCTTTTTTTTGCCAAGAAAAGAATTTGGTTGTGTTCAGGTGCCAATGACAGAAAATTATAATTCTAACACACTGAATGAATCCAATGATAAGTTTATCTCTGTCCCACCAAATAATGTGATCTGTTTATTTTGGTTCAAATTTCTCATGATGCAGGGCTGACTGTAACTGAAAACATTTTGCTTATTGTTATTAGTAGAATATACCTACATATTTCAGTTTTTGTGCTGTGCACTGCTTGGCTATACAGTGGACCCTCGACTTACGGAATTAATCCACATTGGAACGGAGCATGATCGGCGGTGGCGGGGGGGGACCTCCAAGATGCCTCCCATGGCGGCAGAGAAGCAGCCAAGGGGTCACCATGCCTGGAGGGGGCAGGGCACAGAAGGGGGTAGGAGGTGCAAGGGCTACTCCAACTCATACCTTGCAGGGGAAATACCATGGTTATGAAAGGGGTTTTCCCAGGATGAGGCTCTTCCATTGTACTTCAGGTGTGCTGATCCCTGTGATTTCCCCAAATGTGGGGAACTCAACTGCATAATTTGTGGTAATGGGGGATTGCATTTGTGCTTTCCCTGGTCTTTCTAGAATCCTTTCCATCTCTTTTTTCCTCATCAGGACATATTGCAAAGGCAGCAATTCCTGGCGACGTCTTGTATTGCCTTCTTCCTCTTTTTCTCCCCAATGGCAAAGGATCAGGGCAAAAGGAGTCACCATGATCAGGAGCCACGGGGCTGCTTTGACTCCTTTCACCCTCTTTCTTTGCTGCTGGAGAGAGAGGGGGGGGGGAAGGCCATCTGAGACCCACTGCATTTCCAAAGGCAGTGCAGGTGAGGGGATTGCTTTTCCCCAATATGGTAGATTTCAGTGCATTCCTATGTGGAACCGCGTTTCATAAGATAATGTTTTCGCAAGACAGCAATTTCCGCGGAACGAATTAAAATCGTCTTGCGAGGCACCACTGTAGTGCTGAGCACACTGCCTACAGCCTGCTGAGCAATGCTTCATGATAGGAAATATACGTATAACTGACCTGTTCTCAACAGTTCAGTACAATAATTGCTTTGGAAAATGGTTTTATACAAGGATGTACACATTTCTCATTCTCTTCCTTTTTCTAAGTCTTACCACCACAAGATGTCCCCTGAGATCTGCACAGCACTATGAGAATTGCCAGCAAAAATCAAGAGTGCTCTGAGCTTTTGCAGATTCCTCATTTTTCTTTACATTTCCTTCTATTTGCTCTGCATGGGAAATCAAAAAATTAAGTGCAGGAAACAGTCACATCCTGCACAGCACTAACTTAAATCACATGTAGGGAATTGTCATATACTATGCAGAAAATACTCATGTCCTGCACAAGGAGTTGCATGCATCTTCTGCACAGAAACTATTTTTTCCCTATTTGGCATTTTTATGGTGCATGTAATCCTTTTTGGCAGAAAATGCTACACGGCAGCCAAGAGGCTCCCTAAAGGGATCTGGCCTGGAAAATCTTCAGGTGAAGAGTTGCAAGGCAGCCAAGAGGTCTGACAAAATTGCTCCCTAAAGGCATCTGGCCTGGAAAATCTTCAGGTGAAGAGAAAGACATCTCCTCCTCCAGCCTCCCATTCAAAAAGAGTGCAAGCTTGTGAGATCCTCATACCCAGTTCTACATACCAAGTTCTTCTGAGGACAACTTAGCTGCAGCAGGCTGTCTCGTTTTCCCAGGTGCAAATATAGAAACACATTTCTTTGCCTGTAGCACTTCTTTATGGATGGTTTGTTTGTCTGCACAATTTGTGTGTGGCTTCCCCCCCTTTTTTTTCTTTTGGCTTGAGCCTGTAAAAGTGTCACCTCAGTACAGAATCTGGAATTCATTTTGTGCCCAAAAGACTATCACTGCTTCTAATTGTTTGTGATTTTATGGGTATCCAATCTAGCCACTCAGTAGTAGGATGTAAAAATAGTAGATAAATAGGTGCCACCACGGTGAGAAGGTAACAGTGTTCAGTGTCTAGTTGCGCTGGCCACGTGACCATGGAAACTGTCTATGGACAAACTCCGGCTCTACAGCTTGGAAATGGGGATGAGCACCGCCCCCTAGAGTTGGACACGACTGGACTAAATGTCAAGGGGAAGCTTTACCTAGTACAACCTAGATTTCATATCACAACAGTCTGGACATTATAAGGCAAAAAAGGTAAAGCTCTGTAATTGCCTAAATTGACTTTCTTTAACTAACCCGTAATTTAAAAATAAACCCCACACGGACAATGTAAAGATTGCCCGGTGACTCTCTGTTTCCAGTGATCAAGGAACCTGTGTGCCCACACAGGAAGGATGCAACTTTGAACTTTAATGAGGGACTTGCCTTGTCATAGATTGGGGAGGGGGTATATTTTTCTAACTAATCAGCTCGCAGTGAGTCTATGGGCAACCCAAGTTAAATCCATGGCACTGACTGATTTATATATAAATAAATAAATGATGAGACTCATGTCTTCTTTTGCAGCATCTCTTAACCATGCTGAAACACCATGTAGACAAAAGGGATTTAAGATAAGCTTTCCTCTTCCATGTTTCACTGTTTCAAGATATTAAAATTCACAAGAATTTAAATATCTTGTCCAGTGAAGAGATGATATTCTCAAAAGCTCACACACCCTTTTGTGCCTTTTCTACCAGCTTATAAAAGTCTCAACTGAGTCTGGAGTCTGGAATTTGTTTTGTGGCACCATAATAGCTATTATTGCTTTTGTTTGTTTAACATATGGATAGTGTTGCCTTTGTTAGCCAACGTACAGTATTATTAATCTTGGACTACATTTATCACGAACACTAAACATATAGTATATAGGAAAAAGCTTGTTTGTAAGTGTAAAGCCAAAAGAGTGCAGCAGTACTTACTTGGAACCGATAAAATGTGCCATCATCCTTCAGTGTTAGAACATGGTCTGAGATAGGAAAGAAATAACCATGGGCTGCCATTAGCGTCCCCAAATGAAGGGCTTCCACTGTCATAGAAGGAAACAAAAGTATTTAAATATTTTCCTTTCCTTTTGTTTTTTACTATGTGAAATATATCCAAAAATGTGTTCATTCTTGAGGATCTTCAGTTTTTGGTGGTAATTTAGGATAAAAGTATCAGTTATAATTAAATTTATTTATTTATTTATTTATTTATTTATTTATTTATTTATTTATTAGATTTTTATCCCACCCTTCTAGACAATGTCTACCCAGAGTGGCTTACAATAAAATTATAAAACAATTAAAACAACAATTAAATCGACAATAAAGTATTAATCAAGATGAGAATATATAAACAAAAGGCTAGGTAAGAAATAAAAGTCGCCGTGAGACCTCTCAGCTGCCCATCCTGGCTACAATGAGTGACTCGAGTAGATCTAGGTGGGAGAAGGCATTCTGCTAGATATCGAGGTCCTAAACCATTTAGGGCTTTATATGTCATCATTAACACTTTGAAATCAATGCAGAAATGAATAGGCAGCCAATGCAAGGCTGCCAGAGTGGGAGAGATATGCTGGTGTTTTCTTATCCCACTAAGTAGTCTGGCTGCCGCATTCTGCACCATTTGAAGCTTCCACATCTATCTCAAAAGCCCTACATACAGTGCATTACAGTAGTCTAATCTTGAGATTACAAGCGCATGAACCAGAATGGTGAGGGCCCTGCCATCAAGATAGGGACGCAGCTGGGCAATCCGCCATAGATGGTAATAGGTGGAGCAGATCACTGAGGCCCCCTGGGTTGCCATGGTAAGCGCCGGATCCAGGTGTATTCCCAAGCTGCGAACCTCACTTTTTGCAGTGAGAATCACCCCCCCCCTCAAAACAGAGGGAGTTTCCCAAACTGTCAATGGAGGGGCCGTCCACCCTCAGGACCTCCGTCTGGTCTGGGTTCATCCTCAGCCCATTCTCCTGCATCCATTACAGTACAGCCTCCAGACAGCGCTGAAGGGACAGAACGGCATCCAATGAAGTAGGTGTAAAGGAGATGTAGAGTTGCATGTCACCAGCATACTGATGGCATGAGGCCCCACACCCCCTGATGACCCCACCCAGCGGCCTCATATAGATATTAAACAGCATTGGGGAGATGATGGAGCCCTTCAGAACCCCACAATTGAGGCTCCACGGGGCCAAGTTCCCCTCACCAAGCTGTACACTCTGAGGACGGTCCCCCAAGAAGGATCGGAGCCGGGCAAGCACCAGGCCATCGATTCCCAGCTCGGAGAGCCTCCCCAGGAGGATACCATGGTCAACGGTATCAAAGGCGACATTGTTAACATACAAAATTAACATACAATCATTAACATATAAAATAATTCCAATTTTCTTTAAAAAGTAATGATGACATTACAGATTCAGTGAGGGGCATTAATATGTTGCTGGAAGGCCATTTTTAAAATATGACTTGTTATGATACATACGTGCGTGCGTGCGCGTGCGCGTGCGCGCACACACACACACACACACACACACACACACACAGAGCACCTGGAACTGGAGATAAGGTACCTTTTGTATTGTAATTTAACTAATAAACACAATTGTCATTCTAGAATGATATTCTGAGGATAATGGATCATTTCTAAATAATGATGTTCAGAAATATAAATGTAGCATTCAATTCCACAATTCAAATATAGCCTTTTGTTTCTTGGTTACTATAGCAGTCAAAAGCTAAATATCAGAGGTCGGAACTGGAGATAAGGTACCTTTTGTATTGTAATTTAACTAATAAACACAATTGTCATTCTAGAATGATATTCTGAGGATAATGGATCATTTCTAAATAATGATGTTCAGAAATATAAATGTAGCATTCAATTCCACAATTCAAATATAGCCTTTTGTTTCTTGGTTACTATAGCAGTCAAAAGCTAAATATCAGAGGTCTCCTTTGATGTGCATTTCATGAATAGAAGCTTTCAATTTGCCAAGAACAGTTTGTAGCAGATGTTTCATTAATGTGCACTTCCAACAATCTAGGCATGTGAGATTATTTGGGATTTATTTACCTGAGCGATGTTTGTAGGCTAGTGCTTCTCATAACAGGTTTTTGTCACCAGGCCAACCCAAATCCTGTTGCTTAGCACAGCAAATTGCTTTAGAGTAGGCCCAATGAATCAATGATTTCAAGGTGCAGGGAAAGGAGATGAAGAGTCTGGAACATTGCTTCTGTTATTGTGCAATATTCATGAACTATGTTTTTTCAGCAACTCATTTCCTGACTCATTTTCAATTTCATTTTTAATTTAACACTGATTCACCTTGAACCCTTTCAACCATGTTAGAAAAACTATTGGATTTCTTCAGAGATGGGATGGTACAGAGAAATATGTGAAATCTTGTCGATCAGCATGTTGACATTGGGCTAAATCCAATTGTTTGTCAATTAGAATAAATCCAATGGGACTTAACATAAGTGTTGGCTTAACAAGTGTCACTCATTCAATGGGCCTCCTCTAGTGGCAGACAGCCCCTTCTATTTCTGGCTGTCATAACTATTAATCATTGATAAACACTTCCTTAATCCAGTCATTTCAAAGTCATTTTTTTAAAAGCTTTCATCATAGTACTTCACCACAATTCATTTCTGGGGCCAATTATTTATTTGGTTTATTTCAAACTTGTTGTGCATCAGCACCTTTGGATTGTTTTGGTTCTGTATTGTATAACTATGTTTATGTTTATTTGTTTTCCAAAACATATCTCCTGAAATAAAATCTTTCCCATAGCTATCACCTATGACAAATGTTATGTGCACAAGATACAGTAACCGATGTAGAAGAGGTATGGGACCAGTTGAACTTTGACCTTCATGCATCACTATAAATAAAATCAGTAATAAATTTGGCACATAAATTTCTGTCAAAGATTATGGAGAAATGTAAAATATTTTTAATGGCAGACTCTTGCATCTCACAATATTTCCACATCTTATGATACTTGGAACTTCTTCTAAAAGTAGAATTTCCTTTATGAATGATGATTAGGATGATTAAATAAAGATGAAAACAAGCCTTCCAACACTTTTCCTTTTTAAAAGTCCATGTCAAAAAGCCATCAGATTTTTGTGCAAAAATATATCTTGCAATTTACACAAAAAGCATTCTTGTAAATGTGAAAACTCTCACCAACAGAAAAATCTTGCTGGCTTGCAGGACAAAATTTTAGACATACATTTTCATCATGTATTAGAACATGAGAACAATAAAACCTGATCATTTATATCTCTAATGTGACTTCCAATAGGTATATATTAGGTCTGCCCAAGTGCACCCTGATTTATTCTAACCCATTCTTGATCTGTTAAGACCCTTGTGGAATTAAGTCTGAACTCTGAATCCAAATCAAGATTCAGAAATTCAGATTCTTACTCCTCTAACTGTCATGCATTGGGAAGTCAAAAAGCTGTAACTTTTGTAGTGGAGTGGGGTGTCCAATGGTGCATGAAATTTGGATATGATTAACTGTACAGAGGAACTTACACCAAACAGGGAGTTTCAGGGTTGTTTCTAGTGGGCATCATTAATACTTGTCTAATTCCAAAGATCAAAATAGAGTCATAGAGTTGGAAGAGACCACTGAGGCCATCCAGTCCAACCCCCTGCCATGCAGGAACATCTGTCAAAGTACGTCCAACAGATGGCCATCCAGGCTCTGCTTAAAAACCTCCAAAGAAGGAGACTGCACCACCCTTCAAGGCAGCCTGTTTCACTGCCGGACAGTTCTGACCATCAGGAAGTTCTTCCTAATGTTCAGATGGAATATCTTTTCCTGTAGTTTGAAACCATTGCTCCATGTCCTGGTCTCTGGAGCCCTGGAAAACCTGTCGCTTCTTCAAAATTACATCCTTTCAAATATTTAAACATGGCTATCATGTCCCATCTTAACCTTCTTTTTGTAAGGCTAAACATTCCCAGCTCCCTAAGCCGCTCCTTATAGGACACGGCTTCCAGACCTTTAACCATTTTAGTCGCCCTCCTCTAGACCCATTCCAGGTTGTCAACATCCTTTTTGAATTGAGGTGCCCAAAACTGGACACAATACTCCAGATGAGGTCTGACCAAAGCAGAATAGAGTGGTACTATCACTTCGCTTGATCTAGACACTATACTCCTATTGATGCAACCAAGAATCACATTGGCTTTTTTGGCAGCATCACACTGCTGACTCATGTTCAGCTTGTGGTCTACCAAGACTCCTAGATCCCTTTCACAGGTACTGTTGTCTAGCCAGGTGTCTTCCATCCTATATCAGTTTCAAAGGCATGTAGACTTAGCTGAGTGCTCAGTCTTTTCAATTCATATTGGTATTGTCCTGCCTGAATTACCAATACTGTCCCCCTGGTACTAGAGGCACCTTCCAAAGTTCTAATAACAGTTCTATACTAGGAGGAAGTTTCATGGAACTCTGTGGGGATTACTACTGAGCTCACATGTACAAGGTTGCACTGTTAGTCACAAAACACCAAGGAACCGAAACATAGAGACTTATCATGCAACACGCATTCCAATGCCTCAGAGCCCCCAACAGCTCTACTCTTCTTGTCCCAAAGTCACACAGAAGCCAAAGCAATCATTGGCATAATTCACCCCTGCAGAGCAGCTACATTTGATGTATGTTTCATCCCGTTTGATTGTACATAAAGGGGCATAATGTTAGTTAAAAATTAAAACACATAACAGGCACTCTGCTGGTTTTTTATAAGAAGATTGCTATAAGAAGAAAATTCTAAATTTGCCAGCAGAAGAAAGCTGAGTAATAAAATTGTGTTACTACTTTTATCATTCCTTCAGGGCCAAAGAAGAAATAATCCAGCTGAGTAAAATATCAACACCATTGGAACTGTGTTTGGAGTTTTCATTGGAAGCCAAGACAACAGACGTAGACAGTGGATCATAAAAACTTTAGCGCTGACTTGGGTAAACATATCCTTCACTGATGGGTATGTTGTCCCATTTAATGATGTGTGTACGACTGGC